TTCTCCCAGTTGAATGCCTGTGATAAAAGTAACCGTTGACGCAACCACGTGTAGGAGTTAATTTAAGAATCTGTCGGCTTCAATTCATCTCCCGGAAGTTTATCGTGAACGTGGGACACGTAGAAAATTCACAAAAGGCCTCGGGATATTTACCATTACAAAGGAACTTATATTCGATTCCAAAGAGAATTTATTGTGTTCGATTCTAAATAAAAAAAATACGTGGTGTTACAAATGCGGCTTGGGACAAGAAGGGAAACATTTTGAAGTGCGAAACTGTGGTTCAGAGGGGAAAAAAGTTTAGGGTCTGCGAATAATTCAATGGCAACACAAAAAAGTGGTCGGAATCTAGATGAACCGTTGGTATTCGTTTTCCCAATTAAATTATTCCCTCGCGAATCTCGAGTTTTCCTTTATGATATGCCCCTGCATGATTTGGAAGGGAAAAAAACTTGGGGAAGGAAGAGGAGATTTTTCAAGAATCCAGTTTTATCCACCATAAGCTGCTTTTCAGAAGAAGATAATCGTAAACAATACACAGTGAGTGTGAAGTATTAGGAGAGACAGACTAAGTATAATGGACGCAAAACACAGAAGTTTTATGTGAAGCTAAACGACGTGGAAATACCAAGTTAAAATTTCAAACCAGTTTGGATGGTTCGAAAACGTGGATGGTTATGTGAACGTCAAATTCATGGGGCAGTTTATTCCAGTTCACATCCTCAATTCCATTAAATTCATTTCAGCATGTCAGTGCTATGGAATATAATGCACTAAAATTCAAACCACAGACTATCCTGGCACTATACCTTACTCAATTGGCTCAAGAACTCTGTCAATACCTTTTGTTCAAAAAAATACACAAAAACAGCACGGGATATGAGACCACAACAAAGCACATTTTCCTTTAATTTAGTTATTCAACCACATGGATAGCTGCATCATATTACAAATACTCATACACAAAAAAAAATAAAAGGATGTACTAGGACAGGAGATAGACGGAATGCACACTCATTTTCCCAACACAAAGACAAACTCTTTCCTGATGTCATTATAGGCAGTACCATAACAACTTTAAAGCATCTACAGACCATATGAAACTTGCATCCAATGGTCTGTAAGTACCATATCACATACTGTTGTTCTCTTGTGGCCCACAAACGTGAGAACAATGTCGTTTTCTTTAAAAACAGACCTGTTACACACACTTTTGCATAAGAACTCCTGATACCAACAATAAATGTCAAATTTCTGGTTCCGAACTGCATCCAGACATAGATAAGTGGTCCCCCTCAACCAATTGCCAACAGTCTTTTTGGAGGGTGGATGAGCAGGTGGAGGTTCAGGGCACCCTCATGCCCTTGGGGTGAGAAATCACCCCTAAGGGCAGAAGAACCCAGATGGGTCAACAGCATAGGATGCGGAAGGCAATGGGAATCTGCCGCATTAAAGATCCTCAGGATTTCCCAAGTATCGACAGCTCAAGCTGCTGACAACCAATCCTAGGATTGATTACAAGAATACAAGGTAGTAAATAGTCTCACATCAATTACAAGAGCAGAACCCACACTTCCAAACAAGTGGTTGTTGGAGATAAGATGTGCCCCTAAAATTGCCAACATTAACCTCACTTTCATGAGGTATCCCCTGTTTTTACAAATTAGGTTTTGGTGAATGAGTCAAAGTAACAAGTGCTACTAATTAAATTCTAGTAGGCTCAATGCAGTAGGTTAGGTTTGGTTTAAAGTTTAGTGTTGATACAAATTCTTTGATATATTAACTGTTATCATAAAACAGCACAGTTGAACAGACTAGATGCCCGGCAATCACTAAATCAATCTAATATACAATTACATGAACAAATATTTCAGTTCAAGGCTTATGCCTTGACACGCCTGAGGAATCAACAGCTGGTGCCAAAAGGCAAAAACTTGAGATAAAGTTTCCTTGTTAACTCCTTAGGTCATCTTTTAGATTCAGACATTTGGGGAAGGAATGAAATTAATTTGAAAGGGATATACTTCAAAGAGGAGTCTCACTATTTTAAAATTAAAAAATTCAGAATAAATTACTGGACCAGATGCTGGTGGCATGTTAATAACGACCTCAAAGACACTCCTAAAAACTCTACTTTTCCATTTTCTTGTGTGTTTTCTACAAGTGAGGTATTTTAAATTTACAAACACAAACTCCGGAATAACAACTATTTTCGTTTTGATTTCTTCATACAAAAATATTCACATCATCACTTGATTCAGCCAATTATAGCTTTCTTCAAAACAGAGTAAACATTATTCTCATTAACTTTCACTTATGTCAACTATTATATATGACCAAGCCTGTAAAGAAACAATGAAGTATATTATAATATTTTCATAGGATAAAAAATAACTTTTATGTCATAAATTTAAACTTAATTTCTTTATTATTTAGCCCACAGAGCTGCAAAACCTAAAAATGGGTATGAAGAAGATGCATAAGACTCCCTCCAAGTAATGAAATTGCAGACCTGTCTAATGACTGAAATTCCTTTTCACTAATTGCAATGTCTCAGGCAACAAGTCACAAAAAACAGGATAAAGGCTTTTTAAACTGCCAGTTATCTGCAGCTTTAGCAATCAATTAAAATTCCAAACACTTCTCACATTATTTGAGGTAAACAAATTCATTTCCTATAATCTGTGTGTTAAATGACACTAAATCAACTATTAAGTTTGATTAACAGTAAGTTATTCCTGTGCTTGGCATGCGTTATTAAGGTGTACTGAAATAAATTTATCCACATTCTCAATCTCTGCACCACATAAAGATGGCTGGTCAGCTTCACACTTGACATAATATACAACAAACAGAATTTTCCTTGACCACTTAAGAAACTCAAACTGCTCCTGATCCTACAGTAAGTTTCATAAAGTATGTTTGTATTAATCACCTTTATTTCCTCATGATAAGGCAACATATTTCTCGAAACCAATTCTGTTAATACTGCACTTATTAAACTTATTAATAAAGTCAACGAAAGAATTTTTTTTGCTTATTAATTAGAAGTATAAAATTTAGTGCCTAATACAAGATTTTTAAGACATACAATAATTAACAGATATCTGAAGTCGAAACTGCATTGCAACCTTCCGTCACAAACATAACTTTGCTGAACTGGATTCAAGACTAGTAACCATAAAAAACCCAAATTCAACGACAAGTCATGGCAGCTTGGTAAGTTACAATGATTCATGTTAAGTTGTAGAAACCCATAAATAAAGCAAAAACAGTATGCCATTCAACACATATAACAAAGATTGCAGAGATCTGCAAAAACAACATTTCAATTTCTCCTTTAAGGCAAACAAGTTCTATGTTGAAACTAAAAGTTAAATCATAGTAACCTGTTAAATGAGTTCACATATGCATAAAAAGTGAAACTTATCATTCAAAAGAACTTGTATTATAGCTTCTCTAATGAATTACTATCAGAAAAGGACAGAAAATTATATCCATAATAAATTAATTGCAACAACAAAAGGAGTGCCAAGTTCAACAAGTGGAACCACTCTCACAGAAGAAATGTGCTGACAAATAAATACTTGCATTCACTATTCCATCAGTTTCCAAGTATTTTCAGTGAATTAGCCCTTTGAATCTGAAGTTAATCTAAATAACTGTTAAAAATTCAATCTATACATCAAAGAAAATAACTGCTGTTTCTCCAAGAATCATAAGAAACCAACACATACAATTAGTGGGTAAAATGCAGAGTTGCTGATTATTAAAGCACTGGGTACAGAGTTACTTACCATCGGGCTTCATAAGGGTTAACTAATTTTAATTCCTCTTTCTATGAAGTGTACTGCATTGGGTAAATGCAATTTTTAGTAGTTAATTACCTTTAATTTCAAACTGTATGAAATTTATTGATTAACAGCTTGGTGGCTAATATATAAATTAAAAAACATATGTCCTGATTTTCTTATAATGCATTACATCAGCAAGTACAGTTTAAATGAGTAGGGGTGTTGCAAGAGAGTGTGACAAAAACGTAAACTCCTCTACCACATGCATCATAAAAAAAGGATATTTTCACTTATATACAATCCTCAAAATCTGTAATTTTAAAGTTCTCTTAACAATGATTTTCACATTGGCCCACATAAATTTCAATCTAAAAAGGAGAGGATAAAATAATTATAAGCATAAAAATGTGCAAAATAAGTATAAGTGTAAAAAACATCTAATGCCTAAACTGTCCACGCTTATAAACTTTAGCAAGTTATTATTTAAATCCATATAACAAAACACTGCAGCTGCTGGTTATAACTCCTGCTTCATATTTGGAAGGTTCGAGATTCATATCTTGGTCCTGAGACTGGCTAGCCAGACCAAAGCTTTCACCAGTTCCTCCAAACAAATGTCAAGTTAGTACCAATCAGGCCATGACCACTTCCTTCCATATCCTTTGCAATTCATTATACATGAATAAAAAATACATTTTAATTAATACAGAAATTCACTGGGTAACTTGTAATTAAAAATTTATAAATTGTTTACGATTCTGAAAATATATCCCTCGTATTTAATTTCTGTAGTAGGCTTGAACTATTAAAATCATAATTAGAACATGACCCTTAAAAGTATAAACACCAGCGCTTGTTTTGGTTTTGATAGTCCCATGCCTACAAAATACGAAATTCATAGCGTTTCAATCTCTTTCTCTTTCCTCCACATTCCCAAAACTTTAACACTTTGTTGTACAAAGATTCCGCAAGCTTGCATAACTTAATGGGGGAGGAAACAAAATACATTAAGAATGTCTTAGATACACAGTTCCTTACAAACGCATAAGTTTAACGTGGACAAAACTGAAAAATAAAACACACAGTGTTCTCTTATTCACTACTTAAAGTGTTGTCTATAAGAACAACAGTTACCATTAAAGTGGTAAGAACGTAAATAAAAATTTGGAAACTGCTTCAAACCGGAACACCGGCGTAAAAACTCACCCATTTTCTTGGTCAGGCCGAGTTCCTTGTCAGCTAGAAGTTATAAAAATCAAACGACTGTGTCACCTGAAGTTCATATTATCTTAACAAAATATACCATCACTCGTACCGCGTAAAATCACTTAATTCACGAAAACCAACATCTACGAACAAACCTCACCACTACCACCAAGAGGGCGAGTTCAATGATGGGGGTGGGGCGAATCTTGTCCCTGCTTACCACGGCTACCTAGATCAAAAATGAGGTGTCTATTTCAATTCAAACCTCAAGGGTTATCAAAAGTGTTTAATTCCTTGATTAGTAAATTTGAAGAGCTAATAATATTTCACTGCCCGCCTTATCTCACTACACGTGAATACGCGTTACGTAAACTTATGTTCCAATTGTAGCAACTCATTCAAATACACACAAAAATTCAAAAACGTGCCATCTAATGGTGAAATATTAAATCATATACACGAACATGCTCATGTCCCGCTATCTGCAAGCGTATTCTATACTACTTGACACAGAACATCAATCTGCCATCTATTATGTATCTTCTAAACTTAACCACGTTGAAAAAAATTTGGTATTAAACATTTATTTTTTGTTTCTCAGGCTACTCAAAGTCAAATGATAGGATAATTCAAGAATAATGAATTGGAAAGTGTGTAAAAAAATTACCACAGAATAATTTAATGTACTATCCTATCATTTGTCCGGAGAAACTGGGAAAAACCATAATATCTGTTAGGACGACTGGTCTCCAGACTGTTTCGAACAGACAATCTCACAAACGAAAAGCACGGCTGCTAACCACTCTGCTGCAACATTCAGTAATTTGGTATTTCAATAGCAAACCACAGAACAGACACTTGAAAACAACAGAAAATTAAACTCTTAATAAAGGAATCACAACTGTTACACCTAATTTTAAAGAAAGTTATTCCTTACTCTAAAAATATGATTACAACTCAAAACTAAATTAATGAGACATAAGCATATAGAGCAGAGATTTGCTATAATAAATGACAATTATATTAGGCACCTTTATGCAGTTATTATCATTGCTATTAACATATGAGCATTACCTTCTGAGAAATTTCAGTAGAGAAATTGTCTATAGTTGATTTTACACAATGCATGAAGCAATTTTATGCCAGAGTAGTGATGTCAAACACAAATGGCTGTCTGGAAGTGACTCAGGATTTTACAAAGGCCAGTCAAACCTGTTCTAGTAAGTGACAGGAATGAAGAATGTGAGACATATTCTGGAACAAAGGAAATCCATAATATGAAAATTACTTATCATGAGACACTAACAATATATTTGTTTTATTTTTTCCAACAACTCCATTATCATACTTCTTTTTTTTATTCTATTAACAAATAAATTACTTTTGTTTTCTTTGCAATATTGTAACATTCCACTAATTCTTGCATATCAGTTGCAATACCGGCATGTTTAACATCCTTTTGCAGGAGTTTTCATTTGGGCATGGTATTGATTATAATGGTAAAGAGTATGGTGTACTGAACATCTAGCTATGGCTTCACCTACTATGCAAGACTCACTTCCTCTACCAGAGAGAAAAGAATTATAGAACACAAAGTATATCAACCCTCTCACCAATGCCTCACTTTAAATAAGATCATACAAGGCATGGCCTGGAAAGGCTGAGGAATCACCTCCCACTGTTAGCCTTTTTTCAGCTCCGCACAGCTGAATGGGGCCTGACCCCTGTAAAACCTTAAAAGGGAGTAGTGAGAATAAAAAATGCACACTACTAAATGGAACTTAAAAAAACTACCAAGTGAGAGACCATGAGATTTCATGGACACCATGGCTGGGCTAAGTACACCATGATATCAGAAGCCAGTTGTTAAGGTACATCAAGATGATGATCTCAATAAATTACCAAATACCAAAGCAGACTTTCTAGTTTAAATAAGTCACATGACTTTGCTTACACCTCAACCTAACCACAAAATTACATACTACTATACTGCAATATTCCCACAAAATTACATACTACTATACTGCAATATTCCCACAAAATTACATACTACTATACTGCAATATTCCCACAAAATTACATACTACTATACTGCAATATTCCCACAAAATTACATACTACTATACTGCAATATTCCCACAAAATTACATACTACTATACTGCAATATTCCCACAAAATTACATACTACTATACTGCAATATTCCCACAAAATTTACTTTATGTGTGTTTCTTTAACAGAATATACTTTGCTATTTTACATGGATATTAATATATGAATATTTAATTTAAATTGGTCAATATTTACAACAATAAGAATCATATTAACCAATCATAGCTTCCACTTTCTTTGCATATCTAATAAATAAAAAATCAGCCTCTTCTCACATATTTACCACACTTACCAATGATAAAAAACAAAAATTACACAAATATGAAATGTTACACATTATGTGAAATTATCTGTTGGCATGTTTGGTATATGCATATAAAAGGTATTTATTACTGCACATGCTTAGTTAGAATATATTAATGGCAATAATAAAGCCAGTTTGCTAGAGAAAAAATACAGAGATAAAATTAACCTGTTCACAATTATGAGTGTAACTGTTCCACAAAATATACAGAATGTAACATTATTATGTGAAAGTATAAAACACTGCACTGATCACCTAATCCTGCAAATTAGATAAACAGATTTGCCTAACACACAACAAGACTGACAAATTTTTCTTCACTAACAATGAAAGAAATTAATTAGGGTAATCAAATATTTACATTAAAACCAAGCCCAACATATTGGTGAGAGGATTAATATTAATCTAAATAAAAAAATACATGTAGAGATTAATTCATCCTCACTAGGAAAGAGATATCTTGTATAAAACTTGCAAAAGGGTGGTGAACATGAGGTTATACAAGTTTCAGAGACAAAAATATTAACAAATGAAAAAGGATAAACCAAGGATCATGTCTGACAGCAGGTATCATATTGGTCACACTCTTATCTAGCTGACAACATTCTAAACACAACTTTGAAGTTAATTCACACAGACATGCCTAATTTACTTCCTTAATAGACACATTGCAGCTTTTAAGCTTCATCCTTATAATAATGTAACAAATTTTATGATTGAGATCAAGTTTTTAAATTGTTTTATAATTTAAATATCTTGCTAGTTTCAGAATAATGAAAGCATTTTATGGTCTTTCAGCACTGCAATTAACCATCACAGTTAATTCCTGTAACACTCAGAGAGAGATCAGTAACAGAAAGAAAAACACCAGATCATATATTAACATTTTAAGTACAGATTCAATTGTATAAATTCAAATACTTAATGTGTTTCATCAAAGCTTTAAAGAAAGAGCCCACATAACAAGGCCTGACTTACAATAAACCAGAAACAAAACTTGGAGCCCCTTTCTGTTCATGTTATTACTATTAACAAGGCTTTATAACATTAACAGTATTTTGGTGAGAAGTATCATAGCTCAAATGGGCCTGCAGCTGCTTGTTAAGATGAAATTTAATAATCATAGCTGGCACTTGATTAATCAGTCAAGGTATTCAATTAATTAAAAGGGTTAATAAAATAATCAATTAAGAACAATATATTATTATTAACTTTCCAACCATAAAAAACGTTTGGCTTCAAATGCATGTATATCTGCACATGTGGCCCACAATGTCCACAATTTCATACTAACTAAAACAAATTATCATGAGGAAAGTTTTGAATTTAATAATCTCTTGTGTTTAATTCCTGACACATGATTAAGCCACATTCAAATTAAAATATATTATTTATTATCCATACAAAAATAAATTATTACTCTGTGGCAATGTACTTTTATTGACTGATTAATTCATTTCACCAAATTGAAACATCTAACCAAGTAACAGCTGTAACAACAATGCACAGTTTTTTCCTTGTATAGGAAAACTGTTCTTTCACATAAAATAAAATATTTTCAAGCTTCAAAACACCAAATATTAAATTGTCTATACAGTTATAAAGGGATACTAAGAGACAGACATTTTATATGGGTCTGCCTGTCAAAAAGAACCTGTATACAGTATGTCCTGAAAAGATGTATACACATCAGCAACTTTAGTGGCCACTTGTCAACCAGTTTCTCACTGCTGTAAACTGTGCAATGAAGCAAACTGTGGTCATTTTTAACATCTACACTAGATTTAATAGGTATCAAGGTGCCAATGCTAACATATGTAATGGTTTAGTTTATTGACATGTCCTTATTTTGTTGACTGAATATATGTATACATCTTTTTGGGACAGCCTGTATAACAAACACTTATGACTATAAAATGTAGGGGAGACCCATGTAAAAACAGCCTATCTAGGTAAGACAGACATTTCCTGTTATTCTCTTACTGGTGGTGTAATTGAACAGGCTAGGATTCTACTTCATGTGTATTAGAGTGCTGAGTTCTGACACAAAGAATATACAGTTGTTAACGATCCAATATAGAATTTTGTAGATATTAATCCAGGACACACGTAATATAACAAGTGTACAGTGATTGAATAAACAGCAGCAACAAAGCAAAAAACACAAGGGAACAAACTGATATGGGTGCATTTATCACCCTACATTACCTATGCTAAATTACAGAAAATATAAGGGTGTTGAGTCGGGAAATTTTATCGATTATATAAGATTAGTCGTAGTTAGGCAATTGTACATGGGCTCTCACTTATATTTGGTACAATTCACTGGAAAAAAAAAGTTTAGCTCTTATCTGACTAGAGGGTAAATAAAAACTTATTTTAGAGCACCACTAACCTTCTCGAAAGCAATTCCAATTGCCTCCTCACTTATCTTGTTATCTCATGTTCTGAACCTGAACCCAGGATCTTCCAAAAAAGATAATCAGTTTACACTGCATGCATGCATAAATATGTACATACATATATCATATGCATACTGCAGTGCCTTTTGGAAGATTCTGTAAACACAAGAAGACCTAAAATAAAAATCAGGTAGTTCTAGCATATGATTAAAATGCAGATACTTTTAAACCATCACATAAGAAGCCTGGATTAAGGTCAGAGTGCCTTGAAAGTATCTCAAGTGCTAAATTTTATGCTGAAATTATGTTTCACATTCTCTCAAATTCAATATCCACAATTATCCTTCAATTGATGCCATATGATTTATGTACTGGACAAAGTGTCATTAAATAAATAAAAAACAAACAAAAGATGCAGTTTTTAATTAATACAACAAACATTACACTTTCTTTATATTAAAGTGGACTTAAGCATAATGTGCCTACTTGTGACTATGTCTACACCATACATAAAAAACTCTCATTTAGTCAGTAAATTTTTATGAATTTCAATACTGGCAGCTCTTAAAAAACATACCTGAAATAAAAACAATTTTAGTTCAAGTATGATAATCCAAAAATGTAAGAATTTCAGCATTTTAAACAGAATAGCGAACACATGCAAGAAAGTTTGTACATGTTTCTTCAAACACATTAAATAACACTTCAATTATATCTTTATAACCTAGCCACAAGTTCTCTTGCGTGCCAAGTAAGGAGCTTTGCTTCAGCATTTCTCATACTTCACCAATGCATACACCAACATAACAAGAAAGTCTGAGAAGAAATATAGTTACCTACTTTTTTTTAGTAACAACTACACCTTGCAACCTTTTAAGCCTTACTCACTCACTGTACAGTGAAGGAAATTCTTTGAAAAATCGACTGTATACTCGGCTTGTCAAAGAATAGCCCACTTTCTTTATGGAGCCCAAAGGATCATCACCATGTTCACAAAATCCCACCACCAGTGTAATCCTCACTATTATGCTTTATTTTTTGCAAATCAAACACTAAAGGTTTATGTTATTATCATATGGGCATTTCTAAAAAACCAAATGATGCAAAATTCATATATATTTATAATATATTAATTATAATATCAAATTTCATGCTTCTATACACGATGATTTAATGCGGTGTCAAAAAACTATGAAACAATCTGATACATTTTCCACAGCCACTGTAATAATGTATTTTTAATCTATTTGACAAAAACAACACAATTTTCAATTCTTACAACTACACAAACATCAGAATCAAGCACTCAGTGAAACTATGCTCCCAGAAAGTCTGAATGTCTGTCATGTTACGTGTAGCATTTCAAAAGTTCTAGAAATTTTTGGTGATTTACTGGAATTTAAATGTGGCAAAATATACATATAACAGAACTTCCATTCGCCCATAGTGATAGTAGAGATAGCAGAATATTTAACTTTTAAATAAAAAAGTTTCACTTGAAATTTTAATTTGTAATTTTAAATGGACACATGACATTATTTATTATTAGTGTTCTGTCTGACGACAGGTCCGTTTCCTCGGCAAATATGATTCAGAAGTGGTTTGCCATTGCCTTCTTCTGTATGTAAATGATGATGAATGTGAAGTAATTGTTGGGATGCCACAGAGAAACCGGGGAAGCAGCTAGACCACCGTGGCAGTACACATGACATATCAGTTAGTAAATGACTCTAACTGATGGGGTGGTACACATTGTGACAATTTTTCCCTTTACCACCATACCTAGATTAGCCTGTAGATACACATCAAGGTGTAGTTTGTTCAACTTAATATTACTGTCACACAAGCTTACACAGATCATTAAAAATGCATTTATTCTCCACTTAATGTATGCATTATAGCAACATTTCAGTCATTTGTGGCCATCTACAGGCTGACGCCAAAACATTAATTAGAAACCATTGTGATTATCTGCTACATAGCAAAGTTGTATGTGTTCTAATCCCTAAGAACATATATACAATAAAACATGTAGTACACACAGTAAGTAATTTAAAATAATTTAATATAATAATCTGAATTATAATGTGATACAAACCCACCAGGTTTTTTATTAAAGGTTTCTTAATACCAATTTAAAGAAAATTAAATTAAGCATTTCCAATTGACGCAGTCATAGTTTACTTATAAGGTATTTGTTTTACTCCACATAATGAAATGATAAAAGATTTTGTAATGGTCAATACCTTTCTCAGTTGAAAATACTTTTCTTTGTATAGAAATTCATGCATCTTATACAAAGGTAGTTGAGAAATGCTGAATCAACATTACTGCATATAAAATCATACCAAAGTCATCAAAACTACCCACATAAAAAAACTTGCTACCTCCCTTATCCATACAATAACCTAGTATTTTCCACTTGAAACAACTAAAAATATGGTATAAGAATTCTGTTCTGGAAGAAGGAAGTTCCAGAACTCTTAAAATGTTCTACAAATCTTTCCAGCTACATTCATTACACCCAGAATTCTAAGTTCTGACAGAAGATTGATATCTGCAGTTCAAAAGAAGCCTGAGAAAACAGTTATAGTCTGCTCTGACAAATAAAATAACTGAGACAGATTTTCTCAGTTGTATATGTATAGTACCTTGGGGCTAAACAAAATTAACAGTTATTAAACCAACATATTGTAAAATAATTGTTGTCATACAACAGATAAAAAATCACACTCCAATGCTTTTCACAGAGATAATCCCGAGTGCCATTCTGGCAAGTTTTACTAAAGAAATTATGGCTTTTCAGATTTATTGATTCAATCACAGGAGCAACAGCTGCAATATCCAAAACTTCTGCTTACATGCAATAACTACAAGTTATAGTAGAGCCTTGATTATCCATATGCCAAGCATTTGAAATATCCAAACATAATTCTGTCTTGTAAACAAAACTGTTATTTTTAACTTTATATTACAAATATATTGATTCTTATTCACTATATTACATTATAATATGTGTGTACACATTGGAAAAAATACAACACGCATGTACAGCTCATTAATTTATTATTAAATTTCATTCTTAATTACCTGAACAAATTAATAATATAATAAAGGTTCTGTCCACATAGTTCAGATTATCACTGCTCTAATAAAATATTTACCTGAGTATAAGATGGGGATTTTTTAAATTTAGTATCTGAAAAATATGAAATTGTCTCATAACGTTGAACAAAGCAAAATTCTTCACTAGGACATATGTTTGTCACTAAAATATACAAGATTCATAAGTTATCAGTACAGATAGTGGTAGAAAATCAGACCATGAGTAGGTGAGATAGTCAGAACTGTGTAGGTTATTTCAGAAATAAAATAAACACTTTAAATAGTGATTGATGATTCAGAAACTTGAGGGAGAGGACAGCATGAGAAGACAATTTTCTTGCAGATAAATACAGTATCTGTTTTAAATGATGTTTGATAATCTATAAATCTGAACATCCAAACATGCTCAATCCTCAAACAGAAGACATAGTCAATGATCAATAGTAATAACATTTAAAGACAGCTTCATAAATTAAATGAAGATAAGCTGTCCCAAACGCAGACAGAATACAGAATTTCACTGGACGGAAAGTACGCTTAATTCCAAGTCAAGCCCAGTTTCCTAACCTGCATCTCCACCTTTTAATTATAATAATATTAAAAACAAAATATTTGAAAAGATCCTGAGATTTATGGTACAGACAGAGGGAAAGCATACACTGTCCCAGCTCTTGCTAGTTGAGAGGTGTCAAGACTGAATATGAGAATAAATTGTAAAACTGGAAGGAAAAAGAATTCAGCATAAATTCAGTTTTTGAAGATAAGCAGTATCACTTGTAGAACATTTTAGCATACACAGCAATTACTGTCTTCAGCAAGGATTAGGGAGCCCCTGTAAAGATCTGGCAGTAGGCATTCTGTGGGAAGTGAGTGATGTGATTATGTAAGCAGACGGTTGTGCTGTCTAACTGGGAGCAAGCGTGTGGTTCAGGAAGACAGAGAAGGAAAATAAGTTAGAAAGTAGGACACAAAGGTGATAAAAGGATAAAGGTTGTCAATCCATGGGGGAGCAAGCATGTAGTTCAGGAAAAGAGGTGGGGACTCAGAAGTGAGAAAGGAAAATATAAAGACAGTGAAAGAGGAAAAAGTTTCAGAAGGATGGATGAATTCAGCAAGTGTTCAATGGGAAAGGCAGTTAAGTAGAATTAGTGGAGGAAAAGAGAAAAAGCCCGTGGTTCTCCAGTCTGGCGTCTATGATTGTTCCAAAATTTTAATGGAGATATGAAACCCCATTGTTTGATATATACCTTACCATAGGAGCAAATTATATTCTGTGGTAAGGTGTACACTGGAAAAATAGGCATTCATTCACATCTCAATTAGACTTTAAAAGAACAGAAGGCTAGGCCAAGATCCAGACCTATGAGTCCTACAGCATAAGGGAAACATCAAAACAACACCATAACTTCAACCATGACGACAGACTAAGCACTACGTCTTGAGGTTTACCAGTCAAAATGCATATGCATTTCTGATTTCTCCCACTGTTACAAATCCTATGTATCTTATCCTCATTAACTTAATCCCCATAACAATATTATATTATACATCTGTGTCATTTATAATGTTTGTTAAGTTACTGTCCAAAATTAATCCAAAATTATTAGCAGCATTTATAATACAAGCCTGCAATACAGAGAACATGATAATCACACAAAAAATTGGAAACAAGATAAAACATATGTTAATATTTGTATCAGAGGATAAAAAGAATTTCATATTGATACTATCATACAGTTTTTTCTCATGTTCATCTGTTTATCATAATGAATTATTCTCAATATGTACACTACAAATGACTGCTCCTTTTCACTTCACACTATGCAGAAAAGTTCAATCTCATTGTCCACAAGTGTCATTTCTGTTTGTAGTAGACATTACATCAATCTGATCGATACTTACAGTTCTTTCAGCTCAGTACCCTTAAAAAAATTACATAAATTTCCTCAAAATTATATCTTCAATTATGAAGGCCTGCAGTGCTCTTCACAAATATCAAATTCTGAAATTGTTCTCCATTTTTAGCATTGTAAGATCAAAAACACAGGAACAATCTGATAAAATTCTGTCACAATGAAGAAACTAAAAATGAAACAAAGATTAAAAGCTAAAGTTAGTCAAACCATGTGTACAAACAATATTCCAGTACAAACATGAATGTCTTCTGTGCAGCCTCATAGAAATTGGAATTTCAAAGGTGCTTACCACCTGCAGTGACTGGGGCAGTAAGAACCTCTAAAACATCAGTCTGTTTCTATAAGATTACATAGCACAACATCCCAGAAGACATCATCATTCATCTTTGTACTCCCTGTTGTGAGAAACTGAAGCCTCACCCAACATTCCAGTAACACATGGATAAGTTCTTTCCATGGTGAGAGTCTTTCACTGGATAACTCAGCTTCTCAAGAGAAGAAAATTTTATGCTTTTTTATCTGCCTGATAATAAACTTAATATTATCACACAAGTATATAAAAGGGAATATTACAGAGTGCAGAACTTGGTCCCATCATGGTTTGATCATGTACTAACATCACTTGGTCCCTGCTATAGCTTAAAGCATGAGTGGCTCAACTATGTACCCTGGCCATTTCCAACTTTGAACCTAACCTATACGAGACTATCATCACAAGCCTTTCTGAAGAAACACAAGCAGCAATGAAAGACAGGAGACTATGAGATGATGTATCAGAGTGAGTGCTCTGGAAGTGGGATAGAACATATCTTTTCCTGCTAACTGGAAAAAGTATGAAATGGAAAACATATAAAAGTGTTCAAAAAATGGAAAAAGAAGTGAGGACATTATCATATGCAGGTAAGTATGCATTATAAAAACAATTATACTTGATGTTTTATTAAACCTCTGACAATTATGAATATACTGGTATGTTCAGCATTACAACGCTCCAAGAGTAAGAATGTACATGTACATTTTCTACTTTCTGTGATCTATACAGTTTACATATACAGCAAGCAAATCTTTTCTTTTCTTGCTGTAAGCTTCTGACACCTATTGGGGACCGATTACACTTGGTGCTCAGATAGTTCCTTTGGCTTTTTCATAAAAGTCACTCTGGCATGTCTTCAGGTCATTTAAATATTACTGGTCAATATATGGTAGTCAGTCTGATGGTATGAACCAGCTGTGTGAATTTAGTGCTTACGTAAATCATATACAATGTGCTAGACTTCCAAGTCAAAAACAAAACTTATTCAAGGCTGCTGTCTTGTGAACAGATTTCATTGCAGCACTGCTGGGAGCAGACAACGGGTAAGTAATATAAAAATAAATTCCAGATATGAAGAGAAACTGTAATCATTTTCTTGGAAAACAACTACTTATGTATCACAAAAAGTTTAGAGACAGAAATTGTCCAGTACAACGTAACCAACAATATAAAGTTAAGAAAGAAGTGGTTCTCAAGCTTAATTTATGTTGATCCATAATTGTAGTTTATGTTATATTGCACATATTTTACAACTGGAGATACTAACACTTTAAAACTAATAACTTTTGACATTTTTCATTCCACATCAGTGTATAAATATTTTAATTTTCCACTGATGGAGTCAATTGCTGAGCCCTATAGAAATGAAGAGATGGACTTTGATCTTTGTTAAGACAGATATGGATAACAAATTATTCCATGTGCATAATTCTAAATTCAGTCTTTGTGTGTACTTTCACCTAATTTACTGGAGCCAGAAATGAAAAGTGACTTTTAATTATCTAAATATTGAACACATACTTTCAAAACTTCAAATTTTTAAATTTTCAGACACTCAAATTTAATTCTTCTAATAAGCACCACCATAATGACACAGTTTCTATAATTTAATATCTGTGACAACTTTTCATCTCAAAAACTTACAGGGACACTTAACACAAGCTCAGAACTGTACTAGCTTACCATATGATATGTAGTTACCCTATTAAACATTCTTTGGTTTTGCTGGAAGATTTGTGAAAGTGCTGTAAGGTATAAAACTAAGTATAAACGGACTTAGCAAAAAGCAGTTGTACCCATGTTAAAGTAATCTACCAAAACACGTTGGAAAATAACACAGATATTTCCAGAAAAGAATCACAGAACTTTACAACCAATTCATCTAAGTTTAGGAAAAGTCCACGTTTACTCAACAGAACAGCTGTCTTTGGTTGGAACAAAGTGTCACACACTCATGCTGAGAATGCAGGGATCAAATGATCAAATTATCTTAATTTCAGTACATATCACATCACAAGCAGAACTGCAACACACTGCAATCAACTGCAGCAATAGCCTATTCTCCAGTGACTATCCCTTCTTGCCTTATTTTCGTGTTGATGTTTTCCTCCAGGACATTTCTTTGTAGTCAACCTAAAACAGGGTTGCCAACTACCCTCAAATTTTCATAAGATTTAAACAGGAGATAATTCAGATTTTTCCATCTTATATGTAAGTCACATACTCCTAGAAAATTTGTTGGCTATGAAGTACAACTGTTTATGAGTAATGCCGAATATGAGTGGATGAAAAATAGTGCCCAACTATTACGTAAACCTATCACTATACAGAACAGACAGCACTCTGATCTAAGTGGCAAATTAACTGCCTCTTTGCAAGGAAATTCCATAGCACCAGCAACAAACTGCACATGTCCTTTAATAACATCTATCATCAAGACCTAACAATATCAAACAGAATTCTCAATAGTGTACACTACAAATTCATAAAAGAGGACAAACAAAATAATCAAATTTAGTACCTGCATGAAAATAATATCAAAGGATCTAATCCAAGAAAGTTGAAGCAGAATAAGGATTAGAAAAAAGGCTCTAATTATGCCACATATTTGAATTCATCCTTACAGTAACCCAATGTTATTAAAAATGAAACAGAAAACAGTGAACAGTAGCTGCTACTGATCCTAACATAATGAACACAAAACTTTGAGTACATTTAAATTAACAGTTGCACTGTCAGGGAATACTGCAATTAAATTAAATGACAAGAAATTAAACTGATGGTTCAATGTGACTACTTTATGCAACAAGCTATAGTAAGGTAATCAGAATAACTTTACAGATAGCAAACTGAAAATATACTTTTTCTTTTTTGATATACACAGTACTCCTACCCACATATCACTTTAAAACAATATCAATTATCTGTTTGTGTTGGTAGGCAATATTTTTCAACCTCTCTACAGCATATTAATATTTAATTTTAAATGAAGTTTAACTCCTGGACAAATTCTAAATTGTTCTACTCTATGCAGGATTACTTCCATTGGTAAGACTACAAAGATTTAAAGCAAACAACTAAAGCCTAGTAATGTTTTCAAAATGGTAGAAGGAAAAGTTGCACTGTAATGAAAAGCTTGGTATTTAAATTACATAATAAACATAATTATCAAATTGTGAACATTTATATTATAAACTGACACCAATATTCCATAATACCAAGGACAAGATTGATTAATTTCTTCCACTTAAAACAAGTTGGCAACCCTACTAACAATTGTTATATTTTTTAAACACTTAACTAAAAATCAATTATATGTTGAAATATCAGAAATAAATCTGTTCGTCACAGGTCAAATTGCAGACATTAAAAGGAATAAAAAATAAGAATTTCACTGTTTAGACACAAAAACTTTTTTCATACTTTACTGTAAAATTGTAACAAACCTTCAATGATGGTATACTTCTACTTTTATGGCAAACACAGGTGAAGTGGTGAAAAGGGTTCTGAAATTTTCTTCTCCTCAGAACTGAGAACATTAACAATTTAGATTTAAAAATATCTTACTTCTTGAAACTGTATGCAAACAATAAAAAAAAATATTAAATACTTCTGTAGCAAGAACTATCAAAATTCTAACTGTTAATGCTTTTCTATGAAAAGCTCAAGATAATGTTATGTTAAAAGAAGTATTGCTTTCTCAGAATTATGGAATAAATCTGGCAAGTTTCTCTGACAACTTTAATCTTCATCCACACTATGATGGAGCTATGAATAACAAATGTGTCACAAAAATGATGAGTGTCACACACCAAAATCGTTCATATGCAAGATTTGAAAATGGATGTACCAATGTGATGGCAAGATGAGTAAGACAATGCCACTGTAAATTCATTTTTCTCATGAAAACAAAAGCTTACTATTTTCACCCTTGATCACTTATTATTAGATTTTTAATGTTACCACATCTTAATTTTTAATCTTCACACAATTCATGGGTTGAAGATGAATATAACATATTGACACACAACAATATTTCATTCATCAAATCTTGCCACATCATAAGTTATTCCATAATCTCATTAAAAAACTGATCAAAAGCTTCAACTCTTTGGACTAGTTGTTCATGATTAATTTTATGTTATTTCAGACACAAAAGACTAAAACATGTACTGACTAATAAGGTACTATGCAGAATGGCATGTAAAATTATGCCAAGAGTAAACAGTTAAAAATTTATGGACTTGGAAAAATTATTATGCAAGTGGATTACATGTTTCTGTCCAGATGACAACTCCTTAGTGCTATCAACCTAAATTCCCTTCTTACTTAATTCATGCATACAATTCTTTTGAAGAAGGAAAGTATGAATAATAAAAAATAAAAATCTCCTAGCATTGTCTAATATTAGTTTGCACTCTGATCCTAGTATGCATCACATTTGTATTAATACTCAGTGACAGCAGAACTTCATTTAAATATAAATAGAAGAGTGAGACCATTTTGTGTATGTCCTATTTTAGTTTATTCTATTTCCATAAGAGTATGAGGATTCGAAAACTAATGCTCTGGACAGTTGGAATTTATGTGTAAAATAAAATTATTTGTTGTGTTCAACTGCCCCAATTTTGTTCTCACATGTATATTCTTCTTCTTTTGATTATTGGACACTTACTTAGATTTGTTTCTTGTATTCTCGGGTGATAAGGAAGATTGTAGAATTTGCTATTCATCGTCCGTGTCTCCCCCATCACTGGAATAATCCTGGACTGGTACTGGGCGGGTAAATGGGGCATTTGTCATCTGCCTACAAAGTATAAACAAATAACGTGTTGCAAACCTTATAGATGCCCTGTTTATACAGCATGCAACAAAAGATTTTATGATACTGGGCATCATAACCTTCAGCAGTTTCTCCCTGAAAATAATAAAACAGCATCTATCAACTTGCACTGGATATAGATAATTATTTTTGTGCAATTGTATTTATTTAACAACACAGATTTAAAACAAAACCTTTGGATGAAACACTCTCAAAAATAACATAAGAAATGGGTTGACCATAATCTGAGACTGAACATAAACATTACACCCTAAAAAGCTTAGATACAGAAACTGTGATTATGGAGCAACTGAGAGGACAGGAATGGAATAGAATTTTAAAACCAAATTACCTTTTTTCATAAAATGGCTGTATTCTGATATAGTCTATTAATCAATGATTGATGTTTCACAGGAGCTTACTGCCTCCAACATCAGGATCCTCCTCTGAAACATTGGTCTTTATCTATTGGACTATGTGGTGCAACATCTCAGAAGACAGCCATTTTCATACTTATTGCTGTGAGAATCTGATACCTCACCTACCTTTACTCTGAGACCAGCCAAGTCTTCAGTAAGAGATGAAGCCCTTAGCTTAAGACCAAGGCTATGATAATGTACTGCTTGTTCAGAACTATCATACACCTCATGGAGTGGTGATAGATAAACATGGAGCAATGGTGGAATGATGATTAGCAGGGGAAAACTGAAGAACTTGAAGAGAAACCTACTGCGGTGCCACTCAGTCCACCATGAATCTCACTTGCAGTCACCCAGGACTGAACTCAGGTCTCCATGATGAGAAACCAGCATCTAGCCACCTGAGCTATGGCACAGCCCCAGACTGGGGATAGAGCACTATATTATTATGAACTGACAGTATTAGATTAAATTAATTTAATAAACACTGAGTCAACTCACGCAAGCCTACGATAGTGGTTTAACCACTCTTCGACCATCTGAGCAACAAGGAGTGGCCGTTTGTGAAGTCTCTGTTGTGCTACCAGGACACCTCCCTCAGTAACACAAACGTCTAGCCATTGCCGGAGAATACTTTCTTCCCTTCCCAGCTGAAACATTTAAAATCATATTCTACTCAAACAAATATAGAAGAGAGGACCTGCTAAGGAATGGGTAATGTAGGGGTACATTGCAGATGTTTCCAGATATGTAAATGGCCAGGAACAATGCCTATTTTATTCACATACTCTCCCCTGTTCTCCATTTGAGGTATACCAGGCCTACACTGTTGTTTGCACTATGCACACACACACACATGCCAGCATTATAAAGATCACATCTGGATGAACAAGTCACAACTTAAATAAATGCTAAATAAAAAACCACACTTACACACACACATATGAAACTTTAACAACCTTGGAAATTTAATGACATTATACTGTTGACAATGAATTAACTGAATGATAAAGCTACAATGGCAAAGTTACTACATAAGTCACTACTGACCTCAGCTTGCATGAGGAAGTGTACAGGCAGAAGTTTGCGATCTCGGTCCATGAGTGGCAAGAATGTGACCTGGAGCTCATCTGGACCCAAATTGTTTGCTCCACCTGAACTGCTTCCCTCCAACCTACTGTATGGTTCCATAGGAACCAGAGCAGAGAAATGGCCTCGGGTATAACCTAGTGCCAGGGGTGACCGTACACAGAAACTTTGCTCCCAGAGTAATGGCAAATAAACACCTGCAACAGTGAACATACTTCCTGCTCTTATGTCTCCTACGTAGAGCTAATGCATTTATTAAATTAGTGACTGTTAGCCTCTGAACTGCATATGATGATACTGAAACTCTTGACAGAAACTATGAAGCCAGAAAACTGTTCCAAATATAACCTACTTTCAAGTAATTTAGATCAAAATTTAGAAATATCCATACCACAAAAGAATATTATTGTGGACAAATTGAGGTGTGCATCCCAGCACAGTCACTGTCAACTATGATTTCCGGATTGTACACCACCTTTCTGCACAACAAATGATCTTCCACTTCAACCCCCACCTAGAAGTACTTTCCCTCCTCCCTTGGTTCAAGGTTGGTACTGTGCAAAGCATGAGAAATTCACTCATAACTGGTAATTGGTACTAGTAACATCAAAGGGTCCATTTGGAACAGCCTGGTCAAATTCAATGTGGGGTAGCCTAGTAGGTAAGCCCTGTTTGGTTAAATACCATTTTGGTTAGGGATTTCAGAGTTTACCCCTCTTGCTTGGTTTTTAATTTTGTTTGGGCTCACCTATAGCATTTTCATTATTTTGAATATGAGTAACAAGGCCTCATTGGCTGTTCCCTGACATTTTCAGGAATATCTGATTTTGTGTCTGGTATCATTAGTATGTATTATTTTGGATTACTGCTGGCCAGATCAGAATATTTGGTAATAGTGGCCAACAGTGCTAATCTATGCCAATATTTAGTATTCATGGTTGTAACTAGGTTCTGTTGTGACATTTCTTGTAAGATGCATACCGTTGGGATGATAATGGACAGCAATTTCCTTTCAAAGAGCGGGAACTGTGGATGGATTAGTATTTCCCTTCTCCCATCCACCTCAAAATCTCTCCTTGGCAGAAGGAAAAGCTTATATAGTGTGTTTATATCTCACTGAAATGTGTGTTCCAAACTCTCATTTTAACGGTCTTCAACTGTACACTAAGTACCACATTAACTACAATATTTTTTTTGAGGTCCTAGATTATGAACATCCCACATGTCCAGATTTGGTTTCAATTGTTTATTTCCATTATCCTGCATACCTTCAAATCTGGCATAGCCTATAGCCTCTCCACGGAAGCTCTTCACATACTTGACCCCATAAACTATAATGGGTCGACGCAGAATGTGTGCAAGGGCAAACACATGAAGCTGTTCCAGACTGGAACCTGGCTGACTGGCAAGAGACAGAAGTCCAGCCCAGTCCTCCTCCCACTGTCCCTCCTCAAGACTGAATTCAAGCAACTGAGCTTGACTGGCCTCATACTCCTTCCAGCGAGGATAAAACCTGCAAGCAGCAAGTTTGCCAAAACATGCAAAACACACATACCATTTTAGACTGAGGAAAAACATGGTGATGAGGGATCTACTTAAGACATTCACTATAGAAGAGATTCATGTGGGACCCTATCATCTGTGCCTAGCTCCTCCATTACATGGAAATTATTAATATAAAATTTACATTTTTCATTTAAATAAAATAAGAAAATCAACGAAGTATATAATTTGTTCACCTCCAAATTTACCCTCCAAACATATTTTGTATAAAATCGTTTTTCCTTCCAGGTTATGTATGCAATCATATTTTGGATACAAAATAAAGTTCCTGCTTCTTTCATATATGTATATAAATTTAATTATCAATAGCTTAAGTTGCTTTCGAAGACTCTGATATCTTCACTGAAGTTCACAGCCATCTCAATTAAATATTCACAATTATTGATTGAATGCATTACTTACACGTGTCCACCTTGATGTAAGCTTTCGGCAAGAGCCCTCCTCAGTGTATTGTCACGGTCAAACACTCCCCAGGTCGCTTGCATGGCCGAGTCCAGTAGACAATCACCAGCTGACCGGTTCCATAATGCATAGAGTCTGGAGCCAAGTCGTACTGTCACCTCCAGTGACCAGTTTAGCACTGGCGGCTCTGACTCTAGCTGCTGCTGAGCATCTTTGTCCAATAGCTCTTCAAATAACTGCTCCTGCACTGGAGGTGGCAGGTCCTCCACTTCTGCAATGGCATTAGCAAAGTTACATTAATAACTTGTCAATAAAGCATATGGGGAAGATGATGGAATCTGGAGGTACATTAACACAAGCTTCGAAAAGTCCACTTCTGAACCCTATTCTCAGATGGATAAATCAAATATTCATCAAGTGATAATGACCCTCCTACAGTCATATTATTGAATTAATTATTCTATCAGCAACTTCAAATGAGAAAAAACTGGATGTTTGTTAGTCCTTTATCAATCACAATGGTACTGTAAAATATAATTTTACTGGAAAGCCTAAGCACATTATACATTTCTGTTAACACATATTAAAATGATTGGAGAAGGTTTCAGAAAAAAGGTAGTAGTTAGTAATGAATCAGATGTATATTTCATCCCATACATCTTTATACAACATATTTTAAAACTACAACCACGAAATACTAAAGTGGACATCATGAAATGACACAGGATCCAGAAATACACATGCCCACTTACCAGTCAAGTTAATACAGGCCAGAAATAGGAAAATTTTTATTCTTTGTCCAGAAGTATTACAAATGTAACAATTAATTTATCATCAAACATAAGGTGCAGAAAGGTACAGCTCTGGCAGTTCATTGCTGGTTCCTTACTGTGGAGGTCTGAGTCCATCTCAAGAAGCCAATGTGGATTCACAGAGGATGAAGTGGCACTTTGACAGGTATTGCTTGCAATACATCAGTTTTATCCTGGTAATCATCATTCTGCCAATGCTCTACACTCACCTATCATCACCATCAGGGGATGGTAAAATGTACCCATCTGATGTAAGTAGACAGTTTCAAGTGGCCAGCAGGTTAAGCTGTATTTCTGAAACCCTAAATCTATATGTACAAAATAGATCTAATTATACTACTCACGTACTCTGTCCACTTATTTCCATCTGAAAAGCTTGCTCTTGGAGAAGAAAGGAAATGACAACGACCAACCTGCAGGCAAAGCAAATGTTGTGAGCTCAGTAACGAAGTGGCAGGGGAAGGAGCCTTTGCGTTGCCGTAGAGTTGATGCCATGTGCCGCCGGATGTCTGCTGCTAGGTCTGGAGCTACATATGAAGGAACCCTCTTCACACCTGAACCAGAACCTTCAATCTGTGACAACAAAGTCGCCAGCATATCCTCACGATGGAACCTGAAGAACAGTAAACTATTATAATAATGGTGTATAACATTCAGCACATTCTGTAGAATATTTTATTACACTCCAACATCAACACACCTCAAGTTTCTTACAACTCTAAAGTATCTGATAAACTCAATCACGTATATTAAAATTAATAAAGTAATGAAACATATGGCAATGAGTTGTCTGAATCATTACCTTACAGGAACTGAAGTTTGAAATGCAAGATGGAACATGCTGAATTCAAAAGTTTCAGCAAGTATAACACTTTTTGCAATATGACTCACAAAAATAAGCAACAGCTATGAAATAATTACTAGCCTTTGTCACAACAGTAAGCTGAAATATTTCACACAAATAAATTCTCAGACAAGCTAGTCTCTGCCCAGGACATGAATTATGTTTCTCCTGAATGTGAGTTGGGAGCTCAAATATATTGTCCCTCAGAGGAACATTAAATGAAGGATAAGACACAGACTTCTTACCTAATAGCCAAATGGACCAGTGTGTGGCCAGAGTCAAATGCAGATGGGCGGTTAAGAAGTGTGACTTCATTAGGAGTGAGCTGCCGAGCTGGATCACCACCTGATGATAGGTATGCCTCCACAGGATTAGGATCACCATCCACAACACCCAGACAAGCATTTAGCCAGTTCCAATCAGCTTCACGCATCCGTTGCCTGATCTGCTTCAGACGTCGCTCATATTCACAATTGTTGGGAGAATTGGCTGGAGTAGGCATGTCACTTGATGCCTGGTTTCGCTCTAAGCGTCGTGAATTTGGCCAGCTGTAAATCAAAATTTAAACAAAGACTGTTTTCAACGTCAAATCTTAAAATTTGTTACAAATAACAAGCCACCTTAGTATTATCATAAATTAGCTATATACACTTCAGGGAGCACATGGAAATTTTAAGTCTATACAACTCAGAACTCTTTACAGCATAAAAATCACTTTCTTTAACATTTAGTATTATGAAACAATTCCAACAGTGTGCACTTATAGATTTTGTTTTGTTCTCAAGGTAAACTGTGATTGTTCCTCTAATGTCATTAAGAAAAATCTTTATATGGATATGCAGTGTTTTCTTGAATCCGAGAACAGAATTTTACATATTATTTAGATGAGTTTCAGTGCTTTAAAGAGTTAACACAGAATATTACTGAAAGACCTGCATAATACCCAACATACTATCATCATAATGTAAATATTTATCTAAAACATATAAAAACATGCATACAAACAAAACTGTGGCCACTGATGATGACCTCTTGAGGTCGAAATGCGTTTGGCACTAAGTGCTCTTTCAAAGTATACACAGTTCTGTCTGTATGCATGATTTTATATATTTTGGATAAATATTCAACACTGCATGGTACGCAAGGTTTTAAGAGTAATGTAAATAATTGCTTCTACAATCAAAATCTGCTTATTACAACTTGTGAGCAACACTTAAGGAAGGAGTCACATGATATGCATGGGAGCATGTTACTTAAATGAGTGCCAATTCATGTTTGGGTCATAATTATATTAACAATTTTCACACATAACTACGTATTATGCTTGTCACACTTACAGAAAATCCAGCATTTTTTCTCATCAGTAAATTACAGACATGATACTTATTGTAGAATAGGGTACAGGATGTACCTGTAATGGAAACAAAATTTCAGCTACTATTATGGGTTCATAGAGTTCATACCTCTTTACAGCAGAACTGTCATCGATGAGAGCCACTTGGCTCCCACCACCTCGAGCACTATTCAGGAGTGACATCTCTCGTTCAGGGGAGGGAAGTATGCTGCCACTGCTAACTGCCTGGCCACGAAAAAAAGAAGCTGCATTGTTCTTTGCAGTGGAAGCTGCTGCATTGATGTTTGCACAAAGAGTACTACACATTATACACTTGGTGGCTTTTGGCCAGTTCTCATATGTGCACACAGTGCACATCCATTTTATAGTCTGCTGTCTCGCAATGACAGCTTTCTCTACTATACGTCCCCTCAGATCATTCTCAGCATCTTTCAAATTGTTTTTATCTGCAGATGGTGATGTAGTGATGTGCAATGGACCACCTGAAGCTGTTGTTAGCGTTTCAGTATCACTCAGCTGACCAATCCGAAGCGGCTGTAGATGTTCATGGAGATTTGTACCAGTAACAGTAGCAGGTTTTGGCGTTTGACATTCTGTGCACTGTGATGCACGTGGCCAGTTCAGGTATGTGCATGCTCGACATTTCCATTTTCCATTACTTCCTGACCTTGAAGTATCTTCTTGAGAGGGACCTGATGCCAAATTAGGTCCACCAGAACCCGCAATCAGTGACAGAGGAGGTGATTCATCACATAATCTATAGATATCTTCACCAAGTAATGGTTTTGAACCTCGACACATTGTGCACTTTAGAGATGATGGCCAGTTCTCAAAGGTGCAATATTCACATGCCCATTTCGTGGCTGGTGGATCGCAACTCATAATTAAACCCAACAATTAATTTATTTTAATTTGAAAGGTGATACAATATATAAATTGTATTCCTCCCCTTTCAGTTACAACTATTTAACGTATTACATACATAAATAATTTAACAAATAATAAATTTATAGCAATGGAAGATGAATTTAGGGCAGTACAATTGTCATAAACACAGCATTGTTTTCTTCGTCTATTCCGACTTGTAGCCTGTGTTTCAATGCACATACAGGTTACAAGTTAAACAGACAGAGATGGTAAATTTCCATCAGGCACAAGTGTCACTCTGAGACTATAAAGAATCTTTCGCTGACATATATCACAGTAAAATTATTCTTGCACGCTTCCCTCTTTTCCCCATGTACTCCACAACCACGTCCTATCCTCCCAACCTGCTGAAACACAAAATGCAATAAATTTATAGGCACTCATTCAGTTGAAAAGCTTAAAATTAGAAAATTTCTTTGTTGAAAGTTGTACTCGTTTTACGAGTTGGACTGTGTGGACCAAACGTTATCAGTTTTTAATTGCAAACAGTAACAGCAACGACGAAGTGTTACTTCCTTAATGGACATACATTAGTATTTCAGAACGCTAATTTAAGGCTCGACTCACCTGGTTCACCTTCAACTTGAGGACAGTCAAAATTAACCTAGGGTTTCACTATCTCATAGCTTCAAAACATAAACGACAGCCTTCGAACACACAACAAATTACGCATTACGACACAAAAACAATTCTTATGCATTTGGGTTAAAGGTGTTTCATTCTGAATAACATCCCAAAAACGGTACTTTCTTTCTCAGTTCACTCGCAAATCAGGGAAGAAAAACATTACGTCACACAAGCACAACGACCATCTTGGGATTCGTGAATAATCGATTCAATGAAATGTCGAACGCCATTATCGATACTCGAATCTAATTCCTCGAAACCATCTGCAGGGATGTCCAAATTGAATGGTTGTGGACGATACAGCATTGACATCTAAAAAAAAATATTTGAAAAACTATACCAACTGATATTTAAACAAGAAAGGACTTGTTAAATATTGATATTTCGAGTCTGTTGATTTAGCATTTAATTAATAGAACTCAAACATTCGATTTAGTTCAACTTCGTAGTTGACGTTAAGATTCTCTTGTTCAGGTCATGAAGTCTTATAACAATTCGCCACATAAATGCCCGGTACATTCTAACGTTATCTTTATCGTCATTGCAGATATTATCATTTATAAGCGAAGACTAGACATAAAGATCGTTAAAGATTCCGTCGTTTGTTATTACAATGATCTGCATGTTTGTAAGACTTGAGGTTCTCACAGCGGTGAATATGAAGATTTCTGTCTTCTGGGTTGTTGCGCTGTGTAGTCTGGTCGATGTTAACCAACGTTTCAGAGGTCATACTGCCTCCGTCATCAGGGCGATGACGGAGGCAGTATGACCTCTGAAACGTTGGTTAACATCGACCAGACTACACAGCGCAACAACCCAGAAGACGGAAATCTTCATACTCATCGCCCTGATGATGGAGGCAGTATGACGTTTGTCTAAAAGGTAAAATTGGCTTTTTAAAGTACTAAATTCGTATTTCGTTAGCGCGACTTGAAGAATAATTCCTTAGAGACGCTAGCAGGTTTCTCTAACAAGTGTTTAACCTCACGAAAACCTGATCGGGGTCGAATAACGGTACTAGACTGCAATTATGAAAGAATTCACCATCTAGTGAATATTTGTCCCGTAAGTTGGCAACAGAGCTTTCATTGAAAGCGGTTCAATAAAACTTAATAGCAAGACGGAACAGCGCTATATATATATATTACATATCAATAAGTGCACATTTTCGGTCATTCAAAGAAAGACAGCCTGAATTCAAATGATTTGAGTAGTTTATACAACATTCTCTTTTAAAGTCGCTTTCTGTTACACTATTACACGTGCGTGTTATGGCTCGTGACAATGTCCGTTTCAAACCCTACCTGTTTGTTTCCTTCGTTACCACTACAACCCATGTTCAACTTATAAGGAACTAAGATGCTAGTGAACCGCTGTTTGGAATACGTATCACTTGGAAATTAAAGACATAAATAAGCCGAAGAATAAAGATAAAAGTGTAAAAGAAACATTAGTTGTGATTTTAAATGAGTGAAACTCAGTGTCCACATATTTTCATGCGTGATGGGTGTCTGGAGGGGATGCATTGATTCTCGAGGCGCTGGGTTATCGAACAGAGCAAAGGCATTCTGTACCAGAATATGGACAGTAGTACATCAGTCCTACGTTTGAAAGTGAATATTGACGAACCACGATGGGACCAAAGCACATACTGGGGGCGAGCGAAGCATTTCTTTTCTATAACAAACCCATTAAATATTCTAGCTACAAAGCAGGAGCTGGAGAAAGCGAGGAACATTGTTCAAACATACAGGTCTGTAAAACCATTTATTATATTTGCAAATTTGGTACTTATTTAGATAGTCAGAAAATTAGTTGCTTTTACGAATCTTTAATTTTCATTACCGAGCCCACAAAACTTGCCATTACTGTCCTGAATCAACTCAAACCCAGCATCACATTCCTCCGAATCCATTTTAATATCATTTTTCAATCTATGCTTACGTTTCCAAACTAAATTATTTTCTTAAGTTTTTTTTATCAAAACGTTGTTTGTTTTTATCTTATATCCATTTGTACCATATGTCCCGCCAATCTCATCGTCCTTGATTTAATCGCCCTAATAATATTCAGTAAAATGCATAAATTATAGTTGTTCACAAGAGCCCATCACTGGACACTACCTTTAGCCAGATGAATCCTGCCTACATTTCACGCCACATTTCTTTAAGATTTGTCTTATTATATTTTTGTACATCTATGCCATTCGACGCTACAGTCTGAGATACTGAAAAAGCGTTGTTGAATAAACCATAAATAAATATAAATGCATTCCATGTGTTCTATTTCCTTCACCTTTATGAATTAAAATTTTGTATATATTTTGTGTAACACGTCATCCAGTCACGTTGACATTGATTGGATTGCCGTAATAATATTGGAGAAGTGTAAAATAATAAAACACCTAATTGTGCTATTTTATCAAAAGATTCTTATCATAACTCTGTTTTTCCCATGGAGTGACAGATCAAGTTTTAAACCCACATAAAACAGAAGGAAATATTACAGCTATGTATGTCTGCATCTTAATATTTTGTTTTTAGGTAAGAATAGAAAATAAAAGATTCTGAACTGAATGGCAGTAGACATTCCCTAACACTGATTTATTTTTAATATCTTAGCGAATGTAATTTTGATTTGTTACGGTCATTCCTGATTTAAAATATTATTTTTTAAGAAGTCAGGTAAAAATATAACGAGAAAGTTGTATTAAAGGTATGTAATAATACCTTGAAACTGTAAGCTTTAACCTTTTAAAGACGGAAGATCATTTGAAATATTTAAAAATTCAGTTTATTACAAAAACAAAAACACAATGAGTCTCCATTACGAAAACCAATTAGTAAATGCTGTGCGGGAAAATAATCGTTGTTTATTTTGATATTCATAACGAAACGCATTGTCTGGGGATTACTAAAGATTATAAGTTAATATAAAGTCAAAGCCTGGGTTATATACACACACACACACACGCACAATTACCAATCTACTTTAAAACTAATGTCTCACAGTCCCAAAATAAATCGAACGAAATGTGAAAGATCTTGATGCTTGTTAAATAACTACCGCTTGTGTAATTGTGACTTGGGCTCTATATTTGATAAACTTTGATCTTTAAAACGCCATAGTTATAAATATTAATTGCCTTTCAGCGTCATGATCAAGGTTCACAAACAAGGTCATCAAGTTATTCCAAAGTGAGCGCAAGTGTGCATACAAAAACACGAGAAGTTTCTTACGGGGATCCAGAACCGGACAAACCGAGTATAAGAAAACTCACTTTATCCCAATAAGTGTAGGTAGGGCCTATTTAAACGAAGATTCATCAACACTCTCAATGTTGGTTCTTAATAGAAAAATAAGCGAAAAAAAGCGACATGAAGCGAAGTCTACGAATTCCCAAACGTTCGCCACAATTCGATCTTTTATTAATGGTGTCAGTGACCCTAAATTTATTTGGTGTCAATGGCCTTTGCCTCTGGCCCAACAGTATCTACGCCCATCTCAGCAGTTCCCAAAGCCCTATGTTTCATTCAGATATAAGTAAACGATGACATCTGAAAGTTTCTGACGATTCTGTGTTGTAATCCGCAAAACTGGTATTTGAGCATTGTCCATTGTCTATATTTCATAATTTCAACGTTTCGGAAGCTGGATAAAAATTGGAAGGGAAGAAACCCTAGCTGGACCTGGACCGGGTCTGAACCTACTTCAATCAGGATGGCCAGGAGCTAGGGGTCCCTCTTTTCACCTGAAGACGGAAGAAGATTCAGCTTTCGAAATGTTGAAATTAAGATTAACATGAAGATGATGGACACACCACTTTTGCTGAAAGCACGTGGTTTCGAGAAATGGATTTTTCTTTGCAGACTTAGCAGTGTTCCACTAAAGGTCGACTTCGACTCCAGGCCCACCAACAGAAGTAGATTGGCTTTTTATTTCTACTCTTTTGTTTTGAAGATCAGACGTCACACAACCAACAAAAATAATAACTAATATTCTGTGTAGTCCACTAGTAAATTACCTGTCAGGAATAAAGATAAAATTAAAGTATTGCTTATTGTAAAGTTTAACAACAGCATTCACTCCACGGATCACATTTGGACAGTTTATGGAACCCGTGTAGAAGAACAGGAAACAATCTGCTACTTCCTTGATGCCACTATGTTCCACGCCCATAAAAACTATCAGGCAAAGTTATAATTTTATATCTTTTCATATTTGTTTCTAGACAGCAGACGGGGACACAAAAGACTATGAATTGCATGATAGCAAAGATTCCTCTAATTTAATCTTCTCTTAATTCTGTAAATGCAATTGTAATCTATTACCGTTGTTACAAAAATTTTAATTTCGTTGTTTATTGGATGGATTTATTAGCTGCCTCTATATAACGATGTTGTTCAGTTGTGTGTTGACGACACACAAACACTGTACCAGTTCCTGGCAGTAACAGACGAGTACACAGTATTGATGGAATGACAATTATAGGGGAAAACGCGAAGTACTCGGTGCGATATCACTATGTCCGTCACATGGTACTGAGGTTACAACTTCTTGTAATCCTGTGATTTTCCCCCCATGATGATATTCAAACCTGGCACCCTTACATACAAGCAAAGTGTTCTGCTACTGATGTCATGTGTTTCTTTTCCATCAGCTTGCTCTTTGCAATAAAAATGGCTTCAGAAAGGTGATGTTTCTTCCATCAAATCTCTGCTAAGCATTCATTGAACAAAAGGAATAAACCTGCTCTAATGATTTCTCCCACACTTTTACCATGGCTTACATTGCAAACCAATTTTCACTAATGTCGCTACTAAAATCCTTTTTTGCCTGTGACTAAACCAGTTCAGTGGGATTAAAATTGTAATAATATGGTGGTAGCTGTAAAACCTTGTAACCATTTTCTCCAATCAAGTCATAAATTCTAAACGCGCGAAAAAATATTACATAACATATTATCGGGAATACTACTAGACTGACTTCGTTCATAGCATAAAAGCAATTTAATTTCTCGTACTGATTTTTACACAGCAAATTAATCACTCTGAGATACATTTACAGAAACATTTTGATTCCGATGGGATAGACACAACTTCAAGGTCATGGTGTTAAATGTATCAGAGGACAACCCTCACCTATACACTAGCAATAATCTGTTCAAAAGTGAAACTAATATTAATGAGATTGTCTCACCTCTTACTTGAGGATATGTTGACAGTGTGAGATTAAGTAATTCAGCTTCGAGAGCTCTTTTTCCAAACGAAATTATCTTCTCTTGCAGCCAAGTAGTTATTTCATCGTCTCTCCAGCTATGTGTTGGAGGTTCCTCCAGAACAACATAATGATAAAGAACATTGTCCATTACAATTACTGAATGTTCTTCTAAATTTTACAGACGCTTAGACAACATCCAGTTCCAAAAATTCTTCCCATTCAACAAATCATTGTTGTGTCTTGACTTCGAACCTGAAATAAAAATTAAACTCGTGCCAAACACAAATCCATTTTATGTTCCAGGATGCAACTTGACATTATCTCAGATGTCCCCCAGAATGCTCCTCAAAGTGACTGATTCACTGGTATAGAACATTGCATGATTACACCTATTAATGCTAGAAAAATATACACCTTCAAACACTGAGCACACTTTTGAAAGGATGGAAGGTGCATCCTTCGGAGCTTTGTAATTTTTGAAGGCATTTTAATAGTTTTCAACAGACAGCCCAAAGTAAACAAATTAGTAGTGCAGTACCATCGCAGAATACATTCAGAGAAGAAATATTACAGACCTGAACAAAACCAACTAATAAATAAATCTACTTTTCGTTCGTAGGTCTGGAGGTGACGTCGGCCAGCTAACGGTTGACGAGCTATGGAAGGCGAAAGAGCTCTACGACTCGGCGTATCATCCGGACACTGGCGAGAAGATGATGGTCATAGGACGCATGTCCAGCCAAGTCCCTATGAACATGACCATTACAGGGTTCATGATGACTTTCTACAAGTGCGTACACAATGCCATCAAAGGAACTAATAGAGAAATCAAAGAATATACGAACAACACAGATTAATTGATGAGCGGACGGGCCGAAGAATGAAATGGCTTAAAAAATGAAAATAATTAAGTGGATGAATGAATAACATGAGTGTCGGTGGTCCGGGTTATTGCGCCATGTAGTATAAGTACCGGCATTTGTATGCAAGTTTGACTTTTGGTGAGTGACTTTGAGGGAACGGAGTGAAAGTGTTAACGGCTGGTTACTGGACCTGCAAACAAACACCAGTTACTTACGCGAATGCAAATGATAGTGCGCCTGGCATGATGTTTTCAGAAAAGGCAGTACTTACCTCATTTGAAAGGGCATAGAGTAGAGGTAAAGCTCGCAGATTCAAGCCGACTACTCTATTATGGATATAAGTCAACATTTCACAGAAACACGCTACCTCCATCATCTAATACGGCGCAACAACCCAGATCACGGCGGAAACACCAAATCTTACCACAATATGAATGGACGAATAAATTAAATGGATTCATTGATAAAATGAACGAATGAATAAATATTAAATTGGGTTTGGGATCTTCAAAAGTGTTGTTTCCAAATGCAGAAAAAGGCATATATGGCGCAAAATGAGATGGGGAAATGATGAAATTTTAATTTAAATAGAGTTTTGGGCAGTCGTGGTTTTCTAATTCCCAGTTGACAAACATGGCGTTCAAGATCCAACCCTTAGGGTCTGTAAAATTCAAAGCTCTATCGGTGATTGATTTTAATATTTACTAGTTTCACTAAAAATTGGGACGTCTGTTAAGTTCTTTATGTTAATACAGATCTATTATAATAACATGGAAAATATGCTATTCGCATACTTTCTATATCTGAAAGATGAATTCTGATATCGGGGCATTTGGCTGAGAAAATCGCGGTCATGTCAAATGTGGTCATGGCGTTCATCGTCATGTAAGCGATAACTCTTCCTGTAAATGCGTATAGGAAGTTTTGGAAGTCAAGTGCGACATTCACTCACCTGTTCCTCGATAAACCACAGGGTAATAACCGAAGGACAGTCTACATTGAGAGATTTCAGGTTATCACGTCGGTGAGTGTGTGCATGGCTATATAATATATTGCTTTCACGGGAGACGAAATTCATCAGCCGCATCAGGTGGTCGCAAAAAAACCGACGTTTCGAGATCCGTCGAGAACGTTCTCGAACGTCGGATTTTTCCCCGTGAAGACTTCATTTAATGCAGATGGCTGTCTTCTGGGATCTAAGATATAAGGTTCTCACGACCTTGAGTACGAAAACGGCTGTCTTCTGGGTTGCAGTGCCGTCATCAGGTCCTGATTTTGGAGGTAACAAGGACCTCTAAAACAATGTAAACTTCTACCAGACTAAACAGAGCTACAACCCAGAAGGCAGCCGTTTTCCGGGATGTGATCTTGTAGAAATTTGCTGATGTCTAAGAAGTGCTTTCTCCATCATAAGGACAATACGCCCTGACGATGGAGGCAAGGAACACAACATTTACGTCAACGATTATACATGTGTAGATTCAATAAATAATTGCGTATTATGTTTCCTTGTTTTTCAAGGACGACGCCTGGAGTTGTCTTCTGGCAGTGGGTAAACCAGTCTTTCAACGCAATAGTCAACTATACGAATAGAAGTGGAGACTCCCCGCTGACAAATACGTAAGTCATCTGTTGTAAAATCGTACTTCATGTTCGTCACCTAGAAACGTTAATTAACACGCATGAAGCCAATCTAACTAATCTACAGAGTGTCCCATTTAATTCTAAACCCACCTACTAGCATGTGACGTGCATGTTCTGCGTTGTGACCAACTCATCCTCCGGTAGCTCGCTCGCTGCTGCTGCTGCAATATGCTGTCGTGGTGGGTTCCATGTTAAGTGGGACACACTGTAGTTCTGTACCAGTTACTTTTAAGAACTTGTTGTATTAGTAAATGCACGTGACAACACACATACTATCTGTTGACAGGCAACTAGGGACATCGTACGTCCTAGCTACTGGTGGCGCTCTGGTGACAGCTCTGGGTCTTAACAGCCTCGTCAAGGTCAGGAAGTGATAATAAATTATGTAATTAGTTAAACTATTGGCTATCAGATTCAGCACATGGCGAGGAAGTGTCTTCACGCAATGGTCAACGTTCCTTAGTAAATTACTTGTTTCAGAAAGTGCTTAATAGTGTTCCGTCTTAAATAATAGTGTGAGGATGTGGGCTGGATTCAACTGGCTCATGATAGGGTCCTGTGGTGGGCTGTTTTGATCACGGTAATGAAACTTTGGGTTTCATAAAGGAGCGGGAAAACGAGTCACCTGAGAAATTATCAGCTTTTCAAGGAGAATTCTGCTCCTTTTAGCTGCTTGTTTTACTAATGCTCTGCTATCAGAGCTCATCTTGTCAATCTAACGACGTTGTTGACTGACAATGGAATTCATTACAGAAGCAAACATATTTTTACAAAATACAGTTTCTCTCTCTCGAAACTTTGTCAAATGCAAAAGGAATGATCTTAAGGATTTTGTTCTTAGTCTTCGAAGAAGATCGGTTTAAATTTCTTGTGCGAAGAAACTTGTCCGTTTGATACGTTACTCTATCGCACGTGTTTCGTCTAGTTCTTTCCACCTTCCGTTCTCCCTCCACATCCACCATTTTTCTCTTCCTTCTTTCTTAATTTTCGTCTTCTTTTCCTTTTCCTTTGCCAGCCTCTTATAAAAGCACATCTCTTTCAGTCGTATTATCGTTATTATCATCATAATTTGATTTGGTCTTCACATATTCTTTGTGATTTTCCTTTCTACTATTTACCGTTTTATTTCTCATTCTACTCACAAGTTTCTTCTCTACATTTCTTATCATTTACGCCTACTGCGTCTCTTACTAGACTTACTTCTGAGACTATTATCGCTTTCTTCTACCTCTCTCATTTTGTTCTTTTCTCTTCTCCAGTCGTTACATTTTCTCCTTAAACAAAAAGAATTTGTGCGGTCAAGACGAAAATTGTGATCTTCTGGGTTGTGATGCTGTGTGGTATTACAGGTGGTAACCATCGTTTTGAAGGAAAGTGCGACCTCCATCTTCAGAGTTCAGTGTTCAAACCAGATACATTCTCCCCAAACCTTCGTAACAGCCTACAAGACACAATTCGACAATAATAGTGTGCTTCATTTCCACATAAATGAAAACTGGTACTGACTATTTTTATCATCCTGTACACGTGAGATATCCTTGTTTACAGACAGCTCCACCACTGATCGGCAGATGGGTCCCTTTTGCAGCAGTTGCAGCTGCTAATTGCATCAATATTCCACTAATGAGGCTCAGGTGGGTATCAATAAATTATTCTGTAACGAAATTCCATCTCCTTTATGGATCTTCCTTGAAGACTTCTAGGCATAGTCAATGCCTCTGACTCACTGGAATCAACTCTCGTCAGAAACCCAAGGACTGGTGTTCGCACAATGTCAACAGCGACAAGTGTCCTATCAAAGACTAAATACAAGCGGAAAACAGTAACAGCCAGAAACACCACAAAAGGTGTTGAGCATAATTGTATATTTAAACGCCGGGAGCCACACAAGTCGTAGACAAAGAAGACAATTAAACAAATAAAAACAATTAAATTTAATTAAAACTAAATTAAATGCGAGAAAGTTTAAAATAAATCAAGAATAAGATGCATTTCCTCTGGAATTTGCGCAGTGTAGGAACTGGCAGACGTTTCAGAAGTGCTTGCTGCCTCCATCATCAGAACGTCAGTCAGCACATGTAAAATATCAGTCATTTTCTACGGAACTACATGTAAAAGTGTCATAACGTGAAATCTTATTGCAGGGAGATCCAGGAAGGTGTCCCCGTCAGTGATATCAACGGTAACAGACTGGGGAACTCGAAGAGAGCAGCTGAGCGGGGCATCGCTCTTGTCACGTTGAGCCGAATTGGCATGGCCGCTCCTGGCATGGGTGCGTAACGGAAACTTGCTTACACAATAGAATGTAAGGTAGCCTGAAAGATGCCAACACCCACTCACAAAATGTCCGTAACGCTTGACTGTACGAGTTTGCCGTTCGTGTAGGCGAGACTATGGTGACTATTCTTTGGAATTGGATCCTCAGACTTTCAGAATGCGTGAATGAGTCACTGACCCTCGTCATGTTTTACGACAAGCAAATGGAATCAACCATTTTAGACACAATAAAGAGAAACTGTGAACTTCACTCGTTCGATACTGGAATTCTCTCTAATTGTACACAGTAAAGTAATCTCAGTACCATCCAAACAAGTATGACTGCTATTATGTGAAACGGGGTTAACGAAAACAATTATAGCCCTTTAGTCTCGATCAATACTGAGCGCACGAAATCCACGGAACCCAAATGCCAGGAATGCATGGTGGGTTGCCTACCCATCTGTTATAACTTGGCAGGGTTTTTGTACAGCGCAAGTCACATGTGCGTATATCTGCATCACTGTAAGCAACGACCGATTCTTGTTGAAATGAGCAGTTTTTTATTCAATGCCAGTAAATAACCTGTATGTCAAGACCTGTGCTCATTCGTATATGTATATATATATATATATATATATTGTTTTTAACCACACAGAGAGGATAATTCACGAAATATAATTTTGGTCTCGAAATTAGGGGGTTTGGTTTCAAGAATTGTGGGCTGTTCGTGGTGTCTCAGGTACGCAACTACTGCATGAAGACATCAGAACTAATTCGGCGGGGTCAGCCGTCGAAACGGGGAGCCTCGGTTTCTCTACCAGAATTATTTGACTAACAAAACCTTCTATGTAGTTAATACTGGGAGGATTTGAATGTGTGTGTATGGTATGGCTCACCATAATTGTTTCACTACGCGTAAAACTTAATGTCCAACACTGTTACCTGGCAACCTGGGCTGCTCATTGAAAGACGTCCGATTCTTGGTGTGATGTTGCAGTTTTCACGCCGATTGTGATGAACGCGCTGGAAAAGCGAGGTTTCTTGTCTCGCTACCCATGGAGCGCGGCCCCTATACAGCTAGCACTGCTCGGTGTCTGTCTCACGTTTGCCACTCCCATGTGCTGTGCCCTCTTCTCGCAGCGAGCCTCCATCTCCGTGTCAAATCTTGACGCTGAACTTCAGGTGATTGTACATCAGATACAAAATTACGAAACGGCTAGCGACCTTACAGAAAATATAAATATACATGTACAGAACTGTTATTACAATTGCGTTCACATTACTTCTGTGTCGTACGTAATATTTTAAGAAAAGAAAAGGACGCCTGCTGATTTAGTATCTAAGAAAAATATATTTGATATAACAAAATCCAAAGATCATAATCGTTCTTGAGAAACTAAGAGACACTCGGCTCTTATGGAACACGAAGACTCATTGCCGTCTTCATAAAAACCTGTCGAGGGTTTCTAACACATCTAAATAAATCCAGTTACGAATGTTCTATCATATTTATCTGGAATACATTTTAATATTTTCTTCCAAACTGCACGCTGCGCCTTCAAAGTGGTTTATTTTCTTCAAGTTTTCCGACCAAAGCAAAGAAGAAAATTTTAAAATGATAGGAACACACATATTAAAATGACAATCAATTTCTGTTCCAGGAAGAAATCAAGAAGCTTCCCAACCCGCCTACAGTTGTATATTACAACAAGGGGCTCTAAATGCTTCATCATGTAAGAAACCGATCTTAAGAAAACTAGACAATAAATGTTGTGTACTGTATCGCATATAAAAGATTACGTCAAAGAATTTGAAATTACAAAATGTGACGGACTGACAGGAAACGGAAGGTGACTGTATACTAGAAGGTTGCGGAACAAAATGAGGTCCTCATTAACCCATTACTTCAGACTTCCCTTCCTTACAATCTATATAATCCCTTCGATTCCCAGCATAGTCACTTCAGCCCTGAAGATGGAGACAATACATTTCTCCGAAACGTTAGACTCTACCGGCCAGTCCACGCGGAGCCAAAACCTAGAACAGCATCAAAAACGTCAGCGCCGTGAAAACATAAAATTTTACATTGTAAAATATGTCACATTTACGTAATGACGCTGTCAGTAGCTCAGATTGTATAGCGTTGGATGACAGGATAATTAATAAACAATGGAATTAGACATTAAATGGAAGAAAGTAATCGGGGCCTAATTTGAGGAAATATCGAGGAATTTTCCTGGACGAACTGAGGAAAACCACAAAAATTTCAATCACGATACATAACCGAGGTCTGAACCCGGGCCATCCCGAATACAAAACAGGAGTGCTAACCAGTCGACGGAGACGTTTAATATGACCAAATCGTGGCACCAGTGGTTTGTCAATGGAATAAATTATGATATAATCTTTGTTTCAGGCGACATAATAAATTAGTCTATGACCACTTCCTTTCCAATTAATTATTCACTAATCAACCTCTCATTCGACGCTACATTAGTATAAGCTACTGAAGCGTCGTTAAATAACTTGTAAAGAAATAAGTTAGCTCCTATTGTATTCATTCAACTGTATAATCAATAAAGTAAAAAATACAGGCCTTTACGAAATTAGAAATTACGTTAAATTGGATGGATACAATCTTTGTTTTGAACCAATTTAACTAGCTATTTTAACTTGCACATTCTAACCCACGATGTATGGAAGAAATGACAGTAGTAGTAACAACATTTACTGTCATATTAAGGACCCTGAACATGGTCACTGAGACTCAAACATTTTGCTCCAATAATAATTAAATCATTACTCAACTCTGTGGTAAGTTATAAAATATTCTGCTGTGTGTGGGGAGGGGGGGGGGTTTAAGAAGGGAACTTACCTCCGTGTCTAACCACCACGCCAAAGGCTTACAGAGGACTTGATCTCTATGATTCTACATGAAGATGAAAGGTCAGGTTCAAGCTTCAGACCTTTCAGTCCCAGGGAAAGAACCGCAGGACTCAATTGGATAAGAAGTTGGGTGGGTGGGTAGTTCAACCAATACCTAGTTACATCACTGCTTGTCCTGGCTCGAATGTAAAGGTTCGTTTTTCGAAAGGTTAAACCAAATATTATGGTGCGATGGGTGGGACATATAGCACGCATGGGAGAGACAGCGAGCTGTATACAAAATCTTCATCGAAAAACCTGAACAGAACATACTACCAGAAATAGGCACAAGTGGAAGCTTGATATTAAAATGTTGGGTTTAAGGATAAAACAGTAATTTTAAAGGTTGTGAAACTTCTCTTACTGTGAAGGAAGAACGTAGATTACAAGTGTTGAAAACAGGTTGCTCAGGAGGATATCTGGACCTAGGAGGGGTGAAATAAGTGGGGAATTAATGAATAATAGATTGGTAAGGTTTGGAAAGAATAGATACTGACCTGATTTAAGGCAATATCACAGTAAATTCTCATGGTGGCAGTGAGGAAAACTATGAAAATTCCCCGTTGATAGTGGATCTGGGAGGTGAGATATGAAACCAGGACCTACGGAGTATGAAGCAGGAGTGATAAGAACTAGGCCGCAACGTTCAGTGACTTGCATTCTGAAGCACTTTGTTCCATGCAGTTAGTTCAAGGCCACAAACCTAGAGCAAAGAAAATTCCTCTGAAAATGGCTGCCTTCTGAGTTGAAGACCCTTGTAGTCTGGAAGTACCGACAAAAATATTTGGACCGAAGACTTATAAAGATGGGTCAAATTCCGCCTTGACAATGCAAAAATCAAATGTACCGATGGCAAGAAAATTCATAAATACCACTGTGTAACACTGGTTTCTTGTTATAAGCACCACCTGACAAACAATTAATACTGTTCAATCCTTAACTTCAGTGCAAATTTATTCTCAAAATGGGTATACATATCAAAAAATAAATTGTATTTTTAATACATGCATTTCCTGTTTTCTTACAGAAAACAAGTACATAAATTTGCTTACAAATCCACCAAATGATAAATTAGCAATATTGTAATCTCACCTATACTGCCATTTTTTCCCATACACACATTCCAAATACATATTAACATTTTAAGACATACAAATTACTTTCCAAGAACCTCATATAATGTGATCTACCCTATTTGTAAATCAACTGTGGTGAAGGGTTCAGTTACTATAGGCAAGACGCGTAATTGTCGATGCAGAGACCTTGGAGGAACGTTGTAGGCTGGGGCACTTGCGTATTCTTCTTTGGCATGACATTCAAAATCAAACTGCACCAACCAGAACATTATCTGCTTCTTCCTGCACATTTGTTCCACTTTCAAATAAATCGGTTCATTAATACGCTCTTCACTGAGGTCATCCAGGTGAATGCATAAAAATGAACCTGAGGAGAATCAAAATATGTAATCCAACTAGGAAATGGGGTACAGAAAAAAAAGCACATTACAATTTTATGGCTGCCTATGTTTAAACAGGATACAGCGTATATGAGACACATGAACCTTTGAGTGCATCAATAATGTACGGATTATTTAATGATGCTGTATCAAGTGCAGTACTTATATTTAGAAGCTAGAACTGCATTTATAAACATCTTTTGAGAGTTTGTCTTTGATTCTTGTAATGGGCTAAGGCTGATGCATGCTCAGTTTACTGAACAAGAGAAATAATAAACCTTTTTCATAACATGTTTTGTGATTCAATTGAGACATTTAATTTAAAATGTTTTAATCACATTTTTACAGGTATTTTAAATAGAAAAGGCCAACTACTATGCCAAGGAGGTTATGTTTCTTGGATTAAGATTTTCTTGCATTTATTATTCACTTCATCGCAGCCCAATGTGGTCAATAGGGAATGAATTGATTGTGGTCTATATACTTCTCTGGGATTTGCCTTAAAGGACTAAAAGAAAGTACAAAATGTCTTAAGACAGAACAGCTGGTACTCCATCTAAGCTACGACTTTTCTGAATGTGTTTCTTACTTTATTCGTAATTTACTTTGTTAGGTGATCAAGAAACAAATCAGGTGAACGTACTTTTAAAATGAGCCCTAGCTCTTCATATATCCCAATCATAGCAACAATCACAAGGAACTTGTCTACACCTAGTCAAAGATATTCCTGTACCTGATGCATCAAATGACTGGTTGTCCTATCTTGGGCTATGTCCAATTGTGACGAGGCAACTTCAGTGACCTGCCAATGGCTATAAGTCCACATGGATCAACCTGCAACATAGGATTACTAATTTATGGCATGTGGGTCTTCATATAACATATGGCCTGACCATCTGCATCTGCATGGTTGCCTGAAGAGTCAAGACATGGCCAACCACTGGATGAACTCAAGGCCAATATCAGAGAAGTGATTTGAGCTCTACACTATATGTTACACGTGAGAGACGATTTCATTAAGTGCCTCCAACCATGTACATCACTGTGGAAAGGAGAGCATTTACTATATTCTGTTTCAAAAATGTAAGCAGTATGTGCATCAAAATTAATTTTGTAGATTTACGTTGTTAATGTGTCAGTTTATATTACTTCCTCAATAAGCAGAATCTATTCACAAATGAAAATAGTCAACTCTTCTCTGCTGGACCCTGTGTGATTAACTCATTCACAGTTAAAATTGTTCACAATGAGATTTAAAAACTTCTCTGTGCCTAATAATCCTAATATCTGACATTTTTAAAATACTGTAAGTTTTTAAATTCTCTGAGATGCTTTAATGTTACAGAAGAAACATCTTGAGAATTATGATCTGACACTTTCATAGCAACTAAGAATAATGAATTCTTCTTGGGCTACCAGCCGTGTTCACCTGACACAGCTAGTAGCCCAAGAAAAATGAATATCTTGAGGATTACATACTGATGGCAGTACAGGTGTTCAAGCACAAGACAAACCTTATTGTGTAGACTGAGGCACTTTACAGGAACCAAATGATAATAGTTGTCCATGGAATTGATAAGGCTCACATGGATCCATGCCACCAATTTCTGATGAGAAGGTATCAACTGGTAACCCTGTGGGCTCAAATCATACAATAAACTGCAACTTACTTAAATGCTGTGTAAATAAACAACTTTCTACATCAAGAAGCCAATGTAAGAATGATAAAATTTATCACTAACAATGGGCAATGCCAACAAAATTGTATGTACTTGCATATGAAATATCCCTTCACAATGTGCACAATTCACTTGCAGAATGAAAGATATAGGGGAAAAAAATATATTCCTTTTAACTCTTTAATTTCATGACATTAGAGAATTTCTTTAAATATTCACTCATATCAGTAAATTATTTCTGACTCTAACAATAGTTTATTTTTTTCATAAACAGGAATTTCTGAAGAGAAGTATTGGTATTAAAGAATCAAACTTCACAATAATACTAAAAGTAATGACATTAAACAGTAGCCACTCTCGCATTACAACAGGAACATACTTACTTTCATTTGCAATAAATCATGTAAAACATTTACCAAAAGTCACAGCAGCAAGCATAAAGATGGCCATCTTTTGGGCACTGGCAAACTTCTGACTACATGGCACAACTACAGAGAAGACAGCCATCTTATATTTATCAACAGTCCATAAAGTATTTTTTGCATCCCATTCAATGCACTATTAAAGAACCAAAGAATCAGTCATGATTACTTGTTACTGGAGATTAAAACTCAAGCAATGTATATAAAAAAATGTAACAGGCACTGTGCATGAAATGCACAGTGCCTATTACATGGTGTTTGATGGACTATATATGATATTGTTTATACCCCAAGAATCTTCACAGGTTTAGTTTTACATGTTGACACTCATCTGTCCTCTATAAAAGCTAGTCCAAGCACAGTAATGTTGGTACGCCTGTTCATCAGGAAGTGCACTTCTTTCCTCAGCCATACCGCGAGCTAGTGTGAAGTCTGTTCTTGGTACTCATAATCACCACCTGCAACTGGACTCAGATCACTATTACCAGGTACATATGAGATAGGCAGCCATGGTTCTGAACTTCCAAATTTTACAGTTTACATATTTATGTAACACTTCAGCTTTTGAAGATAATCCAAGTCAACTGCTAAATGTCTCCCAATGTTTTGGTAAACAATACAGCTGCCATATTCAGGGTGAATGTCTGTGGGAGAGTAGGAGAGTCCTTACAAAGATATTACATACTGAGAGTTGAATCATGCAATTATCTAATACAGAGTGACTGCGTGGTTCAGAAAAAAGGTGACAAAAAATATGAATTTAGGATGGTGAAGTGAAAAAGTGAAGCAAGATAAGAAGGTAGAATCAGGGAAGTGGGCTCCTCTACATTCCCAGAAATATTCAACCTGAAGCTGAAAAATGTAACATTTGCCAAAGAAAACTTAAAAAGTCACTGCATCTTTTACTTTGGTTATTACATACATTCTCTGATCCTATGAGACCATCATCAGTATCTTACTCAACTAATATTGTGGACTAGCTGCTTTCACATTATCAGACAATTCTTTACCTATCTGTATCTAATGTACTGCATAGTGATTTCTTTGGTCTTATATTATAACCTAACTGATACTTGAACCTCTGAATTGAAATGTTTACACGACTCTATGTGGAAGTTCAACGTGTACTTCAATACACTATTACATATCAGCATTATAATCACCTTGTCTCTTATTTACTTGCATCTGATGTAGTGATTCTTTACACTTGGTGACAATATACCTCAAACATGACATCCGAATCACTAAATCACACTGCTTAGACTCAAATGATTGTCTGAAACTAGTAATGCAAAAATTCAGAGATTCAAACAACAACAGAGTTATATTACAGAATGAGGGCAGATTACTGCACGTCAAATACGAGACTCAAAATTATTTAATAAAATGACACCAATGAAAGATGCTAGGTGAGTAAGGCACCAAAAATGGTTTCACAGGATGGGAATGCATGTGTAATAATAAAAGCAAACAGTGAGTAAAAAGCTGTTGGTAAAGTGTGAACAATATAATATTACAAGCTAAATGGTAAGAAAATGAACACTGCCAGTCATCTGCAGTTTCAATAACTCTACTTCCAAAAATATATTACACACTACTAACATACTAATTTTCATTTTGCTTAAATTTAATTTTGGTTTTTATAAATGTGTCAGAAGCTGAAGTCAGAACAAAATATCTATGTACTGAAGTAAAGATGATGATGATAAGTGTGATATGCATTCAGTCAAATTTATATTTGTACTAACAGAACTATAAATAATTTAATCCAATTTTTATGGCAATACTCTGAATTCATATAAAACCATATTTCATAATTAAGACACAGAATTAAATTTTTGGTGAACTGAGAAATTAACCAATCACTGTAAAGTACAGTTTTGAGGCAAAATTGCATGCCAGTGTGTTGAAAAAGCATGCCTATTTCCTTGGACATCCCTGCTTTACAATTACAAAAAAATATCCTAGAATCCTTTACAGAAACAAGTCAGGTAATGTTGCATTTACGAAGATATCTGAAAAATACTGCATCTTCATATATATTTTTTTAAAATCCTTTTGCAAAACTGTACAATCTTGAAACAATCCCTGTTTGTCTCAAACATTTTCTCTTTTCCATCATCAACTGAAAGGACTTGTATTTACATTTAATATACAATATTTAATTCAAATTCCTCAGTCACAATAGATCTGAGAAACTATGAGCACAATATAAGTGCTAAATTAGATAGATGCAGGTTTCTCAAATTCTGGAGTTTTTGTAAGGAAATTTTATCAACCATTAATCCCTTTTTATCTCCTATGAAATATAAATGAAATTTCTCTATGCAATTTTACAATGACAAAATACTGACAATGAGATCAAAATTCTTTATAAAATTTTTGCTTCTGAAACCTGCAAAAAATTCAGCACTCATATTCATGATACAGAATTTTCATCATTCAAAAGTAAGAGGGTGATTCCATTACATTTATAATAGTGACATAATTTGGAACTCTAGTTGTGCTAATAAAACATCCAAGCATATAATATTGTGATATGTTATGAGCAATTTCGCCATAAATGATACAAACCCCTTAATTTAACACACAAATAAACTTTTGAAATTGAGCATTTATTCCTGTTTTACCAGTTTAAAGAATTTGGTTTATGAAAGATTCACAAAATATTTTTACTAATTAAAATATAATTGGAGCCATAAAACTGAAACATATTTTGTACGAAATACATAATTTTGAATGTAATTGATAGAGCAGCTGAATAAGATAAGCAACTGTATGGAATCTTGCAAGTCATGGATGTCTGTCTTTCATTTCCGGATTTTTAAACTGTGAAGGGTTATGTATCAACTGCATTTCTCTGTCAATTCACATGAATGACATATATGTAAATCAAGCAACAAACAGTACCACTTATATAATGTTTCAACCCTTCATGACCACTATATGCTTCCTGGATACTTCTGGAAGAAGAACAATGTGAAACACTACACCTACCTGTTGACATAGTAAATTTTATGGTTCTTGGATGACAAGACCTTAGACATTCTAATTAAGACAGAACATACTTCAAAATAAAATAAACATGCTCAAAAACACTGCAAAAACCAATGATGAACAGTCTCCTAACGGCATGCTGTTCATGCTGGGGTTTACAAGAACCGAGCAATTGGTGTCCATAATTATCAAGGTATTCATTTTAAACAGTGAATAGGCAGACATGTGAAAGTCAGTAACAGAGTTACAAAGAATGAATAGTTCCTTTGGAACTATAACATGAGTATGAGTTAACATTCTTGAAGCATCCTTCCAGACTCATGTTTCAATAACCTAGGTAGAAATCAATCTAATAATGGTCTCTTTTCAAATTCATCATATCACTTCAATGTGGAACTCCTCCACTATCAACAGAAAGAAGTCACATTTAATAGACTTGCATAATTCCAACACCAAAACTCTTAATGCTAGCTGCATACACTTCTATACTTATCACGAATCAGGTTAAGAAATACAAATTCCAAATAAAAGTGTTAAGATAATGAATGGGACAGAGAGGATATGTAAGGTGGACAAATGGCTATTTACACCTGAAAACAGAAGTGGCAAGAAACAATGGTGTTAACATAAAGCATCAATCACAAATCAAAATGTCTTGAGGTTAAAAATTAAAGTCTATGATTGATATTGTTTACAATAAAATGACAAAAAAGAGTAATGTGTTACATTTATTACACTATCCTATATAAAATGGAGTGACAGCTCTTATCTGAATCAATGATATTACTTCCTTTCAAAGTCAATATCATCACAAAATGATAAGGACTCTATCACAGCCAAAATTTGCGTTTATAAAATAACTTGTGAATGGTGACAAAATACAATAGGCTAAAACTGTCAATCTATCCCACACCATGTCAGTTTCCTACTCTGAATTTCATTGGCATATTATTTGAATATTTTTAATTTCATGCATTCATTTAGCTTTTCTTCAAGTTCACATAAGCTCACAGCGAGTGGAATTAATGACTGTGCAGAGCATTTTTGACTTATAAATATTCCAAACTCACTTGGTCAATAGTGAATTCAGACTTCCTTCTGCAATTAAATTCTTTGTGAAAAGTATAGTTGTGTTGTTCTTGCATTGTTAAAATATGATCATGACAAATGAACATAAAGTATAGTTCAATTATACCTAAGACAAAAGTACATGACTTCTTTAACACCAACTGCCTTTTTCTTATCTGCTAGTCTAATGAGTTTGCAAACATGCTGTGGACAGTTTTTCTATAATGCAAAATCCCTTTGCTTTGACCTAGTACAGAAGGCATGTAATACAGTGGTTAAAACTAAAACTAAAATCATAATATGTAAGTGCCTGCTTTTAAATGCCAAATATGAATTATCAACTGAACCATTCAAGCAATAAACAAGTATACAAACATGTGGTATTCTACATATCACAGACACAAACTAAATGGTACCTGAATTATACTTCTGCAAGTCTTTAAACTGTTTTTCACCAACAAAAATCTATATTTAGAAAATTATTCCAATCACCAAAATAAATTTTTGTCATCAAAACTTCAAAGAAATAATGTATAAATTATATAGAAATACCAAATATTTCAATTTTTAATCTTACTACTGTCATAATGTGTCATCAAATTAAAGTACAATTCATTGAGTGACAACAGGGAAAATAAATTTAGTGGTATTCAAATAGTAACATTATTCTGAAGATGGTTATATCCATTCAAGAAATTGAAGAGCTGATTAATTTCAAGACAATTTATGTAAAACGTAACCCTGATGAATGACAATAATGGTGCCTGTTGGTTTTAAGATGCTTCAGTACATCCCATCACATGAAAAATAGGAAAGTTTTGAATGATGCAAATGCAGAGTGACAAAATTTTCTTTGAACATTCCATCCCAGAAAATATTTATATGATAACATCCTCAAAACATGGCAAAGTGGTCTGGATCACAATTCTAGGTTTAAAGTAATGGTAATAAATTAACATAAGGCCATTCTTGTTGTTACTTAATAATAGCTTTACACTTTTAAATTCATAAATGAATGATAAATAGATCACAAAATATACACAAAATTTTGTCTGGCATTTATACTACATAATATTTTTTTAAAGATGTGTATTTCATATCTTATATTTTAGAAGGGAACTCATACTCACTGACCCTTAGACTGTACTACGTATGTTTGACATTAACTATCATTAAAAGGCATGCCAGGATGGCTTGTTGGTTCTCAAAAAGCATTGGGGCACCAGCTTGGACCAACTACAGTCCTGGTCATACATAACCAACATATTTCAATAAAAGATTTATAAATAAATGTTTATTTATGAAACTGTTCTGCTTTTTACCTAAAATTATCAAATCCTATAGACTAGGAACTTCAACTAACTGATGTAGCTATAGACTGCAGTTTTAGCCATTGAACAGTAAACTCATGACACTAAGATTTCAAAACTACAAACTACATAAAAAGCAAACTACCTGCAAATTAAAGAAATATTACCTTTCCAAATCAATGTAAAATACCAATGTTTTGTTTCCCCATCACACAAATTCAAACGCGTTATAATAACAGGAAGTTATATCATTTTGTTTAAAATACTTCACTTAGCATCCACAATGCAAGGTATAATATATACCTACTGGTCTTATACAAAGACGTCTTCTGAGAGGGGGGAGAGACAAAATGATGCTATGTGCATCATGAGGCTACATGAAAATCATGACAAAGAGCTGGATAAAATATGTGTGCACAGTTTCACTTAAAAGGTCAATGTTTCCAAATTACCGAAACTTTCCTATGCCATCTGAACACAAAGTATGGCATTAAAACATAATATTCTTTCCTTTTAAAAAACAATTTCAGTCGCCAATTCAACACAAGACCTTGTAACTTTGAGGCAGAATACAAATGAATGTTGTAACAATTATACATTACTGAAGGAGCATTTTACAGGTCTGTTATAAAGTGATGACAGCCAGACATAGCACACAAAGCTGAACTTCAGACACTTATAAGATCATTATACCTATTAATACTTTACAAGTCTTCCTCACTAATGTATTTTGTATGTTTTCAAACTTACAAAGAAACCTATGTGATTATTACATCCACATATCAGCCCATGTGATAAGCTTTCATGTACAAAACCGTATCAATAATGATACGACAAACATTTACTTTAATATACACAACAACTGGTACAAATGGGGGCAAGGAATATTTCCCTCCTTGCAACTATTTACAATTTGTACAGATCCACTGCTTAATTTCAATTCCTTTAAGCACAATTAAAGTATCTTGATGTGTCTGATGGTCATTACACTTGTGATGCAGCTCAAGTAGGCTTTACTAATAAATTCACTCATTACCCTTCTTCTTGTTAGAATAAGATGTAATAACAAGAGACATATGCTCTTCAATGTAAATTTCCGACACAGTTTATGCACACCAACAATTAAAACAGATGTGTATGCATCCTGGCTAGAGGAAACAGGTACATTTTCCAAAACAAATGAATGTTATATCTGGACATGAACACTAATCAATTTGAGGGAACACATCTAGTAATAAAGTCAACCAAAAAAATGTGTTAAAAATTTGTTCTGGTGTGTTCAGCCATATTTATAAACCAAGAAAAGTATACATACACAGATGGCCAGACCACTAATGTACCAGATGAAGGATTATTACTCCCTCCTAAAACCAAATTAAACATGGATTCCAACTCAACAGTATTGTTACTTCAGTTCCATTCTAAAAACGTGACAAGTAACATCTTGTGAAATATAATTTTTTGTGAAGTCCAGAATACAAAATTAGGCCACAAAAGTATATGCACTACCTTTTCCAAAATGCAGCACATACTAGTCTTCTAATTTCTGTGGTTAAACCCAACTACAACTAAAAACCTTGCTAATTTCTCTTCAGAATAACAACTATTTATGTATATGCTAATGGTTATACAAATGAACTGCAAAGTTATGATAATGGTATATAACAATTGGTATTGCTGGATTTCTTGGTTTTGTCCACCATCTGGTATTTTGAAAAGAATACAAGGTTTCAGAAACTGGATATTTCTGTCCTCAGGTGAAACATGGGAAGTACCCACTCAGCTGGGTACATTATGAACAGTTAATCTCAGTCACCAAGAAACCCATAACCAGTCTAAGATCAAGTCTGTTCATGATAATTTGAGAGTCCAGCTCTTCAGCTTTTCTGTTTTTAAGAGACCCAACTCAGTAAGTAGGTACTTCCACATTTCACTCCAGGATTAAAGAGATCCAATTTCAAAAATGTTGTTCAATTCAATACTACTGTTTTTCTGGACTTGCTCCATTATTCAATATTCCAAAACAGCACTACATTTCAGGAGCTGTCTCTGTTCTCATCTCTATGTGAAAAGACATATTCTGTTGGGTCCAATGAAAGGATCATGACACCAGGATTGGGATTAGCCCCTTCTACTAGACCCAAGGAAATAGGTACTTTTACCTGAAGATGGGAACAGAGCCAGTTACCAAAATGTAGTGGTCTCATTTCAGAATACCAAATAATGGATCAAGCCTAGAAAAATAGCAATACTGATTGCAAGGTTCTATTGTTACACCCCTTTAGAGTCACAAAGTCCAGAGACACTAATTATATTTTCATGATTTGACAATATTATGCCATACTCTTAAACATTTACACACTACAATAATCTGGAACTTAATATGTACAAACAGAACAATATTATTGTCCAGACAATATAATTATCACAGACTTGCATTTTTAATTCTGTAGAAAAAGTAAGATAACAAACCTACTTACCCTGCATTATATAATAGCCTTAAGAGTGAACAGCAAAACTCACCCAAATAATTCTGTCAAAATGTAAAGGTCATCAGACAAAATGTACAGATGCTAAAAGGTTACAATTGTGGCTAATCATTGCATTCCATGGCTCCATATGTCACATGGGCTGAAAAATCCTATATCCTTCAGAAATATATAAATATCACTAGTTCTCCAAAGAAGCTTTAGTTCTTGCTAACTTTCATTGTGTTCGGCAAAATCATTTGTTCATTTTCGTATATTTTCGTGTCGTAAACCTGTCACACCTCTCACTACAATATTTTCTATCTTGTAACCACAGGAGCAAGGGATACCTTAATGAAAGAATCCAGCAAGTGCCAGATGCATAGTAAACATGGAGAAATCAAACTTCTTACTGGCCCACCCTTCCAAGCAAGTAGACATGTCCATTCTGAAATAATGGAGATGGACCAACGTAGTTTCAGAGTCAGTACACAGAGCAATAACAACAGACTATTGCTTCTCACAGTCACATTTTATTATGCAATACTAACTGTGGTTAAAAAGGGACTTCTCCACATCCACCTGGATAATAGGCACTTGCTGGTCATTCCACCTCACTTCCTCTATCATACACAGCTCAAACATGACTTCAAGTATCAGACATTCAACTATGGCTGATCTCAAGCAAAGCA